ATCTATGAGACATCTTAGCAAGGTGATTAGTATATATATTAGAGCATCTATTAACATAATGAATGAGTATGCTCCAATTCTTGTGAAATAAAAAATGAACATCCTTTATTACATCTTGAAAGGGGTGTGAAGGTTCACAACTTTTAATAATCATACTTATAGCTTTAATGCAATTGCAATATACTCCCTTTGTTTTTATATATAAGAGAAAAAACTGTACCATATAGTTTAAGAAAGTTGAATAACTATAATAATTATGTCTTAAAATAAAAAAAATTAGACTAAAATGCTTATTTTAATCAACATAAGCCTGCATTAATTATTTTTCATTGATGTAAATTATGAGAGATGATTTAGGAAATGTGTAATAAATGCTTATTAAAATATGTGATTTTGCTTATATAAAAAAAAAGAAAAAAGTGATAGTTTTTCTTATAAATAGAAACAAAGGGAGTATGTCAACTATACATAAGCCAGCATTCCAACAAAAAAGTAATCCATATGAATAATAGCAAGTAATTCTGCTATCGCAAGTGGAACATTTAAGCTTATAACTGTATCCTTGGTCTAGTTTTCTTGATAGTCCCAAATGATTCCATCAAATGCACTATTACCATTTGCAAGCACACACCCATGGACTTCAAGTACGATAGCACCACTTCTAACTATAGGTCTGCCCCTATTGTGTTTGTTCTCATAAATCAATGAAGGTGCTAACATGTCTAGATCTAAATCCACACAAGGTCTAAAAAAGCTAGAGCATATAGATTGGTAATCATTTACATGCTCTATATCAAAAACTTTTTTATACCTATCAACCTAAAGATCTCAACAAATGTATCCAAATAGGGAAGTTAATTCTACCTTTTTCATATGCCCCTTACTGCTTCATGACTCAGGCTCCACTTCAACCAATCCAGTCCATTCAGGGTAGTAAAAGTATTCCAATATTCTCTTTTGACAACTGCTTTCCATCTTTCTAAAGCGTTGTGGCGACCATGGATGAGATGCATTAATTTTTTTTTGGCAGAATTTTTTTTATTTTTTTATTGAACCCACGACATTTTAAAGTATGAGCCCCATCACATCCTTTCCTTCCCTTCTTAACCCATCTTTATGGACTGGCCAACTGTTAGCAATAAAGGGAGTGATCCTTTAATACCGTTATTGCCGCTAGTCATATTCATTGGTAAATGGAAATAATTTTGTAGATTAACTTAGCACCATTGATATGTATGCAAGATTAGGTATAATGGGCTGCGTTGAATAATAAATCGACTAAACTCCAATATAACAAACTGATTAACTCTAAAACATTTAAAATATAAAAAACGGTTTTGAAAAAGTATAATTAAGGGTCCATTTGTTTAAATGTAAAACGTAAATAATTTTTAAATAATTTACACAAATTTACAAAAATATTATCCTGTAAATATTTATATAAAGTAAAAATTATTTTGTACTGGTTACGATGTGGGTTGGATGTTAAAAAATATAAGGTATTTTTAGTTTGTCAATATATAATCATTATCTTTTTTAAAAAGTGATGTAATAACCCAAGAATTTTTTTAAAAAAATTAAAATATGTAATAATATGTTTTAATTTTAATTTTATAATTTTTGGGAGTATTATGATAGGAAGGGAAGTTGATGTAGGGGAAGTGTGCATGTATCCCATTCTCCAGGTCCTGAGTTCGAATCTAGCTGAAGCTAAAATTTGAGTTTATTTTTTTATAAAGTCCTACAAAGTCACTAAATTACCCTTGCCTCCACCGGATTTTTTCCCCTTCTTTCTCTCTCTTTCTTTCATCGGATAAAGACACTCTAGCTCAATAGAAGGGTCCAAGTATTCATTTTTCCCCCTCTGTCATGTTCAGCTGCTGGAGAGATAGAGAGGCAAAACCCTCACCTTCATAGCTCAATCTCCACCTCCCTCCATCGTCCTTGGTGTTGCCGGCGATTGTGGGTGTTCGTTGCTATATTGCGACGCCTAGCCCTCCGTCGTCCTCCCCAGTCCTCTTTGTTTTCCTCATTACGCCCTGTTCTCACTGTTCACATTTGTGTAGCTAGTGTTCATGAGGAATCAGGTCACCAGAGCTGGTGGATAACGTCCTAATTAATTTATATATTAAAAAATTTTCTTTGTCAAAATGTTGTTTTTAATTTATGGGTATTTATATATTTCTTTTGCATTAGCTACTTTTGTTAATTAAATTGTTTTATTTCTTGGAGTCATGACTTATATTTTTCAGATTGATGAAAGTGCTTTTACACATTTTAGTGGTCCTTTATTTGATAAAACCTACTAATTTTTCAATAAAAATTTTATTTACTAAAATATTATGTTTTTCTACAAAATCATTTTTAATAGTAATATTGTGATTATTGAATATTTTATTGATTAAAATTACTTTATTATGTGAAATTAGCATTACCATATTTGAAATGTTAGTTAATCAATAAACACAAGTTTGGACTTTAATTATGATATTTCATTCTATCAAATATTGGATTGGTACAGAAAAACGATCCATGCGAGTCTGACATTAAAAATAAAAATTTATTTTAATGGTAAATATTTTTTCACATGTTTGAAATGGATTTAAAAGGAATTTTATACAAAACACTGGTTGCTATCGACAGTCCAATTAGCCCTTGGCATGCCTTAGTAAATGACTAGCTAGTTTGATTTTTGTGGGCTCCATGCTCACGTCTGTTATTCATTGATCTTGTACCTACTTTTGTTTTGTAGCTTTGATCACATCTGGTTAGATATCCTCATGAATTGTGTGTTCATATCTGTTTTGTGGTTTCAACCATATTTGGTTACTTACCCTCATAAACTGTGTACTCACATCTGTTTAGTGGCATCATCCGTGTTTGGCTAATTACCTCATGAATCTGTGTCCATATTTGTTATTTGTTCCATAAAGTCCTTATAAACAAATTAATTTTATTTGATTTGTGAAAAGTAAAATTCATTGTTTTTTATTAGTAAATGTTTCTATTCCTATTTAATTGTTTAATTTACTTGATTTCTTAAAGCCACGTGATAAGTTATTTATTTATTTAAAAATTTAATGATTCAACATGTGTGAAGTTGTCAGAATAATTAAATTCTTTAATCTAGTGACTCTTTTTTAATTTTTTTCTAATTATATAAAAATAATCTTCTATCTCCTTTTGACTTTAATATTAGGACGCTATTCACTAGAAATAATTTTAGCATCAGATAGTGTAGCTGACGCTAAACCACCATTGAAACATCGAGAAGTCTATTATTTACTAGAAGTAGAGGAGCTAAGGATTAAACTTTCTTTTGATGTGAAGTTCTTAATTATGAAATATTATTTTGTAAATTTATTTTCAAGTGCTCCACATAGTTTATAGCTAGGTCTTTTATTTTGTTATATATTTTGTCTACTAGCTGAAAAGTGCTTTGCTCCTAATTGATTTGATATCTTGAATGAAACATTGTATTGTAAAAATTTTAGAAAGTCCTTTTTATTGGGGATGTTCTGCCAAAATTTCTATAAAAATATTGAAACTTGTATTATAGGTGAACATTATTAAAGGTATTAAAAATTTCAGTATAAATATAATTATGTTTTATAAATAAATATTAAATATTAGATTAAAGTTTCCTTAACCATGACTTAAGGGGTGTATGTTTATTCATATATCTTGTGTCAGTCATGTATAATTTTGGGACATGACAACTAATTACTTTTATAATACAAGATAATTATAAGGATTTCATATGTGATCAATTTAGTCGACCTTTAATTGTTCTCTACCTCATAGTAAGGTAGATTTGAATAATTTTTCATATTCTTTTTAGTAACAATAAATATAAAAATATTATTAGTAACTTTTTTTAATAAAAATGAAAACCTAAATATACTGACAGAATTTCATGAAATCTTTGTCCAAATGCCATTAGAGCTTAGTAAAAAAGGTAGACACTATGTGTATACTAAGCTAAGCATCAAGTGCATAATATGCTAAGTAGTTTGAAATATCATTTGCATCTCGCGAGATCTGTACAATTTAACATCCTAATATCATTTATGTATTTGTATATAAATAATAATTTATGTATAACTCAACTTGATTATAATTGAAAATAATAGGCCATCTAGATTTTAATTTATCTTATTAAAATACTAGCTTAATAACATAATTCTTAACAAAAAAATGAGCTATATATGTCTAAAAAATATTATGAATAATAGAAAATTAAAAATAATTTAATAATTAAACTTAGAATATCTTCACTATTATTCTTTTTGTTTCACGACCCTATATATCATTTATTTTTAATTTTGTATATAAAATAAGAAATTTAATTTCATAAATATCTTTTGAATGATTTTATTTAATTTTAAAATTTTAAAATAATTCATAATAATTTTTTAATAATTTAAATTATACTTTTATAAATTATTTTATATAATTTAAAATTATATTTAATTTTTAAAAAATAATTTTAATTGAGACAAATATTGTCACTAAAGATAATTATACAAAGCATTTTTTATTTTTAAAATTATTTTGTATAAAAATATTGCCATTGTTAAAAGTACATTTTCAGTGGTAACTTTTAAAAAGTGGATTTGTGACATTTTAATTTGCCGCCACTGAAAGCTCACTTTTAACGATGAATTTTGCTGCCAAAAGGTTTTTTTTTTTTTTCCTGTTAGTATATACTTCTCAAAGAAAGGTTAAGAATAAAAGTGAACCTTAACAATATTTTATTTGAACAAAGTCTTATCCATGAGACAGGACCTACCAAAGTTGTTGGTTGCTTAGATTACGTGGAAAGTTTAGAAAAAGTTATTCTAAAGATAAAATGGAAATTTTTATTGAATGATTCAAACTAAAAGGATATATATTGTGCCATGAATTATATACTGAACAATGAATACTGAATAGAACCATTAAAAACTTTGGCCAAAAAGAATTGAACCATTCAATTCACCTACTCCACCCAATAATTAATGCTGTGTCTCAGATCGCGCGAGAGTGAGAGCGAGTCCAGAGCTTCCACATTTCTACCTTCGCATCGCCGTCTCTCCACTGTAGCTGGTCACTGTTTATTTAGTCGCTGGTTCTTCTTCCCCTTCCTGTTCCATCGCTGCTATTCTGGTACGAAAGCTCTATTCTTTCTCTTTTCTTCTTATGTGTTAATTGTATGCCTGATTAATCCACAAATTAAACCTATGAATAGATCCTATTGCTGAAGCTGCCTCTCTCTCTCTCTCAACTTCCATGAACTCGATTACAATCCCATCATGGACGTATCATGTCTTCTTGAGCTTCAGGGGAGAAGACACCCGAGAAGGCTTCACAGACCACTTGCACGCTGCCCTAAAACAAAAGGGTATCATAACTTTCAAAGATGATAAGCTGGAGAGAGGAGAGGTTATTTCTCACCAACTCCTCCAAGCAATTGATAAATCTCTCATCTCTCTTGTTATTCTTTCTGAAACTTATGCTTCTTCGAGTTGGTGCTTGGATGAACTTCAATGGATTCTTGAATCTAAAAAGTCTGTGGGTAGAGAAGTTATCCCAATCTTCTATAAGATTGATCCATCTGTTGTGCGTCATCAGAGAGGTACCTTTGGTTGTGCCTTTCAGAAACAGTCAGAGATTTGCTGAAGGTGAAGAGATGGAGAGATGCCTTGGAAGAAGTTTCAAATATATCTGGCTATCACTCTACAGATCAGTAAGTTTTGTATACTTAATATACATATTTCCAATACGTGAGATGTGATGGGTCTTTTAATACTGGTTACAATTAATGTTATTGTTCGAAGAAAGACTCTGTACATACAAAAGCCTTTCCTGATCGATAGTTCAAATATTGTTACTGGCCTCTTTTGTAAGTTGTTTTTTACTTTTTACCGTTTCATATCATCCAAGTAAAATAACTTCTATACTTTTAATTTAAAGCTTAAATTTCAAAATTAGATATTAAAATTTTTGATTAATTAGCCAAGTGATTTTCTCATTTATTAATTGCATGAATTTAGCCAGGGAGGACTATATAGTCAATCCATCAATAGGCGCCAAAAAAATTATAAGCCCAACACAGCGGTCCTTAATCTCTCCTTACAGTTGCATTTTTAACCTTTTCTTTCTTTAAGCAAAATATAAACAAAAATAAAAACGAAAGAAAAATAGACACAGACCATGTTTTCAAAGTGAGTTCTTTTTTGATAGTAAGAGCGTGGTTTTACGTATGCAGATCACACAGGCATAAGCAAATGTATATGAGTGCGCGCATACACTCATGTAGGGTCGCACATGGGTAGGATCAGGTCGAGTATCATCCTTGCCCAATGCCCTCCCCAATTTGAAATTCAAGCCGGCTATAGTGAATTTGTTTAATAATTTTATTTTGAAAAATATATGAAAAATTTTCTAAAAAATTTAATTATTATCACTTAAAATATATTTCTTTATAAAACTAATATTAAAATCAAAATTAATTTTTTAAAATTACATATGATCAACCATTATCTTTTTTTTTTAACATAATATTGAGTTAAAAACAAATTTTAAATTTTGAAAGAGATTAAAAAATGTGTAATGATACGAAATTTCCATAAAGATCATAAAAATAATATAGTTCATGATAACACTCAACTAAAAAATAATATCATTAAATAAATATTATTCACAAAAAACTAAATAAAATTAAAAATAACATATGTCACACACATACACGCACATGCGCACACCATGTAGTCATATACCTTACTATTCAGTTGAAGTTTTGGTTCATGGGACAAAGTTATGCTATAAAAACCAATGCCACCGTGGATTTTCATCACTTATGTGTGTGTCACTTCTTTTCCTTGAGTGATTTTCTCATGGTTTATTAATTGCATGAATTTAGCAAGGGAGGAATATATGGTCGGTCCATCATTGGGCGCCAAAAAAGTTATAAATCCAACAAAACGGTCCTTAATCTCATTACATTTCCATTTTTACCTTTTCTTTCTTTAACCAAAACACAAAAAAATAAAAAATAAAAGCAGAAGAAAAAATTATAAAGAGCGTATTTTCAAACTAAGTTCTTTTGATAGTAAGAGCGTGTCTTTATGTATACCGGGTACACACACATTCATACAACCAGACACAAACAAAAAGTTATATACACACACATGTACATACGCACACCACAGCTGCATATACCTTTCTATACAACTGAAGTTTTGGGTCATGGAATGAAGGCCTGCTATAAAAACCAATGCCGCCATGGATATTTCATCACATTTGTGTGCGTGTTACTTCTTTTCACTTTATAGTTCTTCTATAGATCTTCTTGCTACGCTGCCCTCTAGAACTCTGCCATCAGTTAATTTTTCCTGCCTGCCTTAGCTAAACATCATAGCAGTGGCAGCTTTATTTCATAGATTTTTTTCTTTTGGATATTTTAACTTAATGCCATTTTTGTCACCATCACCAAGTGAAAAAATCATTAAAACTTGAATCTGACGTAATAGTACATGGCTGGTTGTAATTTGTAATACTGCCTACTAAATGTAGAAATTAGTTGCGGCGTTTGTTTTGATCCTAAATGTAAGACCTCAATTCTCTTTGTCTTGCAAATTTATAATTTTTTCCAAACTATCCCCATTGACTCCACATATTAAAGGAGGGTTTCTATGAATGGGATAGTTTCCAATACCAATGATTAATGGGGGTATTTTAGGGAAATCAACACACCATTCATACAAGTAATTAACTAAACTAATTTTCTTAATCTTTATAAATTAATTAAATAGCTCCGACATTTTGGATCAAATTGTCACACCTTGAAAATAGAGGGTGACTGGCACGGGTGCAAACTACATCACACATTCCTGTAAGCCTTAAAATAAAAATTTATTTCGTTTTCTAAAAAGAAATAATCAGATCATATAAAAATTCTAACACTTTTAATATTAATTGCAGTAACAAGACTTCAATGTTTTTATAGAAATTTTGACAGAACCTCCCCTGTAAATAGGATCTTCCAAAAATTCTACAACAAAATTTTTCACGAAATACAGTATCAATTAAGAGCTTAGCTCCTTCCAGCTAGTAACAGTACATATAGATTGAAATAAAATCCTAACAACAATCTATGTGGAGTAACCAATCTTTCTTTTAAATCAAAAATACATACAACTTATATATTTACATCAAAAGTAATAGTACCAACCAAAATTTCCATCCAGTGTAGCTATATTGCCCTTCAGAAGTCAGTAGTGGGATCAGCATCAGTTAATAAATCTGAGACCAAAATAAATTTTCCAGTCAATAGCATTTCTAAAGTAAAATTTTAAAAATTTAAATTAACAAACTCAAATAATGGTGTAAACTAATTTAAAAAAATAACTCAACATAATAAACTTGTAGGTCTATAAGTCATAACCATAGTCATAAAATGAGAGTAAATTGGAGGAAAATTATTTTATCATGCTTAAAGAAAATAATTTACTCACACATAAATTAGAGTGATATAATTGCTAGCTAAAATCATGTAAATTTTAAAAACATATGTGAGTCAACTTTTAGAATTTTGAGAACTCAACGGAGCAGGTAACAAATGTGGACACATAATCCATGTGAAGATAAATAGGAAAGCAAGATAAGATACTTACACAAAGCAAGATAAGATACCATGTGAAGCTTCCTCACCTTAGATCACCACAATGGAAAGCAAAGAGGAAGGAAACGAAACGGATGGCTAGACAGGGGAGAGGGAGAACCGAACATAGCTTGGAAGAAATGAGAGAAACCGAATCAGCAATAACAAACCAAGCCCGCAATAGCACCAATAGCAGTTCTAATGACTTGTTTTCTCATCCCAGCATCCACTCGAATGTGGACGATACAGGGTGAAAAGAAGACAGCGGGTGCAGTGGAAAAATAACAGCCAACGAAATGAAACTCCTACACCAATAATCAACTCTCACAGCATATATTCTTTGAAGAACAAGATCAAAGGTCAAGGCTTCTACCTTAGATGACGTCGCACGAACAGAGCAAGGAGGAGACAATCTCGTGTATAAACAGTGAATAATGAGGCCTGTGCAATCACACAGTGAGGACGACGCGGACAAAAAAGAACTCATGGTCTGGAACAAAGAAAGAAAAATAGAAACCACGACTAACTGACCAGTGAGGACGAAACAAAAGCAAACACGCTAGTGAGTCAACTCTTACGCAGCAACGGCACAACGACAGAGATGACAGAACAGAGGAAGGAAACTCAACAGCATGAGGAGATGAAAGCAGTGAACTCATGGTGCAGTTGAGACTCACAATGAAGGCGCCGAGACGATGGAGGAGAACAAATAGATTTACAAAGGTAAGAGAATGGTCTGAGCTCTTTCTCTGTCAGCAGACTCTGGAAAAATCGAAAAAGGTTGAAGATTTTATCTAAATTGGAGGAAGGGCTATTCTGTAATTTCATACGGAAAAAAAGCAGAAAAATAAAACATCAGGCTTTGTGCTGTCTGGGATTCAAACTCGTGACAGGATAAGAAGAGTACCTACATAGCTTCCACTATACCAGCTACCCTTATTTCCAAATGTATCATAAAAATTAATATATCTACAATTAAAATGGTACAACAATAGATTAAATTATATTTTTATTATAATTTTTTCTAGGTAATTACACAAATGGAATACTAAATAATTATTGACGATTTCTTTCTCCGTGTAGGCATGAAGCAAAACTCATTGAAGAAATCATTGGCATTGCATCAAGAATAGAAGAAGTGAGTGCACTTTTAAAGAATGGATTATATGATGTTTGCTTCATAAGAATATGAGGCATGACAGGTATTGAAAAGACAACTCTTGTAAGAGTTATCTATGAGAGAATATTTCACCAATTTGACGTTAATTGCTTTCTTGCTAGTGTAAAAGAAAACTTTGAAGCCAAGGGTTTGGTTCCCTTGCAAAGAAAACTTCTTTCCAAACTCAAGATAAGAGACATGGATATGGATGATGCATATGAAGGAAAGAATATAATAAGAAATTTGTTATGCAGCAAAAAAGTTCTTGTTGTCTTGGATGATGTAAGTGAAATAAGCCAATTAGAGAACCTTTCTATAAAGCAAGCTTGGCTGGGTCCTGAGAGTAGAGTAATTGTAACAACTAAAGATATGCATGTATTGATAGGGCATAGAGAATTTGAAATTTATAAGGCTGCATTGTTAAACAATGATGATTCTCTTTCACTATTATGCAAGAAGGCTTTTAAAAGGGATGAACCTATGTGAGGTTACTCAAAGATGTGCAAGAGCATCATCCACTATGCTTAGGGCCTTCCTTTAACTCTTGAAGTGTTGGGTTCTTATCTTTGTGGAAGAAGTGAACTTTAATGGAAAGACGCTTTGAAGAAAATTATAAAGTTTCCACCAAGCAATATTCTAAGGAGACTTAGAATTGGTTATGATGCATAAAGTGACATGGAAAAGAAAATATTTTTAAATCTTGCATGTATTTTTAAGGGAATGAACAAAGATCAAGTGACGCAAATATTTGAAATATGTGGTTTTTGTCTAATGCTTGGAATAAGAGAACTTGTTGAGAAATGTGTGATAACTGAATATTATTCTAACCAAGACACATATTTGGGTATGCATGATATCCTTCAAGAAATAGGTAAAATTTGGAAGAATTCCCAAGGGATGCTAGCAAAAGAAGTAGGATATGGTCACTAGAAGATATAGATCATGTATTGACTAAAAACAAAGTAAGTATATAATTTGTTCTAGAGATGCATTAAATTTCCTAATTAATGTATTCGCTAGATATGTATTGATTAATATTATTTGTCATCCTTCATTCCAATGTTGATTTTTTTTTTTCAAGGATCTAATTTGATAGAAGTTATACATCTTCAGTCATCTGTACCATATGAAGCAAAATGGGATTCTAAAGCATTCTCTTGTATGTGCAGTCTTAGACTACTGATCATCTCATGTAATATGTACCTTCCTCATGGTCTCACATGTCTTCCTAATTCATTAAAAATTCTTGAATGGGAAGCATATCCTTTGCAATCTCTTTCACATGGAGTTCACCTATATCAACTTGTTCTCCTAAAAATGCATCATAGCAAGATCATACACCTTACATGTTTTTTAAAGCTAATCCCCTTACACTTGTATTGTTTTGTGTAGATGTTAGAAAAGTTAAAGTGCATTGATTTGAGAACTCTGAAGGTTTCATAAGAACTCCTAATTTTTCAATGCTTCCCAATTCGAGAATTTGGTTCTTAAAGGTCGCGTAAAATTGGTTGAAGTTCACCCATCAATTGGAGAGCATAAGAAACTTGTTGTTTTGAACTTCAAAGACTGCAAGAATCTTAAAGCTCTTCCAAGAATGGAAATGAATTCATTGGAGAAATTGATCATTTTTGGGTGCTTAAAAGTTAAAAAGCTTCTAGAGTTTGGAAAAAGTATGAATAGCTTATATGTTCTTGAAGTCAAAAATTTCCAAAACCTTGTTTGTCTTCCAAGTTTCACTTGCAATTTGACATCCCTAAAAATTCTCAATATTTTAGGTTGCTCAAAGTTTGCCTCATTACCTCAAAATATTGTTGAAAATAAGTGTTTAGAGGAGCTTGATTTGAATGTAACTGCTATAAGAGAAATACCTTCATCAATCATTGGCCTACAAAATTTGAAGTCAGTATATTTGAAAGGATGTAATGATCTAAGTTCAACATCCAATTCATTATGGAACTTGTTTTCCCAAATTCCAAGAGTATTTGGGTTTGTTATTCACAAAGCTCCAAGTAGATTGGTATTTCCTCCTTTAATCTCAGGTCTAGCATCATTGATGAAATTGAATATAACTGACCGCAATCTCAAAACAATTCCAAATGCTCTTGGTTGCTTACCTTTATTGGAGGTCCTTGATTTAAGTCGAAACGATTTTAGCAACTTGCCTGATGGCAGTTGCGTTCTTCCTCCGTCATTCTCACATCTTTCGTCATTGAAGTATTTGAAATTAACTGATTGCAATCTCCAAGATGGATCAATTCCTGAAAATCTTAGTTGCTTATCATTATTGAAGAGACTTGACGTAAACGAAAATAAATTTACCCATCTTCCTACTAGTTGTATTGCTAATCTATCATTTCTATCTCATCTTCATGTCAGTCATTGCCTAATGCTCAAGCATTTGCTAGATGTTCCACCTAACCTATATTAGATAGATACAATTAGTTGTCATTCAATGCAACCTTTATCTTTCTTGGAGTTTGTATCAGTTTTGGTCACATCTGGTCTTGATTTTTCAAAATCTTTTCCTTCTAGGATTTCAAATCGCAAGGCTTGCAAAACCTGGTGGACGTTGGAAAGTAACATTCCATCATGGTGCCATAATCAAAATTTCCAATTCTTGATAAAGTTGATGGTTTTCAAGATAATCATGTTGTTCAAATTTTTGAGAGAAAATTCTTATGTCAAGGTTTTGATCGAGGTCATTGCATTTTCATTGATGGTTTTAAACCATCTAATTCCATTGTGTCAATAAAAGTAGACATCTCTCATCTTTGTGGCTCATGTGTAAGGTGGGGAATTTCTCTTTGCATTGTTATACAAGATCTAGACCTTCCTTCTAGTAAAAACGTCTTCCATCGACGACTTGCGTTAGCTTCTAAAGCTCCAAAAGATGAATTCTTCACAATTAAGAAATTTTGGGGAATTGGTATGGGAATTATACCCATCAAATGTTGATGATTTATATTCCTAGTAGTTATTTCAAAGTTGATACTGACCAAATTGAATTCATATTTTATACACAAAAATATAAGTGCATAGACAAGGAAGCACAACAGGAAGGGAAAGTTGATCTCCAAAATGAGAGCAAGTTTATGATAAGCAAGTGTAGGTGGGCGTGTGATAAGCGAAGAAGATGTTGAAGAATGTGTTAGATCAATGAATGAACGCAGTACAAATGGTAATAACAGTGAAATCTCTTCTCAACACTCTCTTCATGCTTACGGAAAAACATCCCACCAAGTTGGAGAAGTGGCAGAAGAAGACTACACTATGGCTAACGAAGAAGCTGAAACATTTGCTGGTAAACGAAGAAAACTCTAATTTCTTTTCATAGGTAACTCACCATCACCCCTTCATTTAACTTCTCATTTTTGAATTTTTTTCCTATTGATGTCAGACACACATTCGCCCATGCATAAATAATTTTAGTTAAAGTTGTTTAGGACTTTTGGGCGCTAAGAATTGCGGAAATGGAAGGAACTTAAATTGACGCAATGGGAAATAGTTTTTTTTTTTTTTTTGCTGCTGGAGCATTTAAGTGTCTAGTGACTCTATTTTCAATTCTCCAACATTCTTGTGTCTTAGGGTGCGAAGTTGAAGAATTCCAAGCTGAATCATGCAAGCATTGAAGGACATTGCCTTTAGTAAAATGAGTTGTAGAAACTATAAGATGAATTGGGCTAGTCGTATCTGTTTTGCATTTTATTGGGCCGTATCTATTTAGACCTGTTATATTTCTTTACTTTCTTGTTTCTTGTTTTTCTTTGTTAGTATTTGTGGGTAGTGTAAAGAAAGAATGATAGTTAACTTTTAAAACACTAAATTAATGTCAGTTAAGTGCTCAACAATTTTTTTTTGAAAAAATAAGTTAAAAATATTTATCCAAATTATTATAAATTTAAAGTTTCAACTACAAATGATTATTTAAATATCAAATATAACTTTTAGATTGTAATAGAAATTTTTGTTTGTAACTATTTGAATTGATATTTATAATTCATCTTGTAAAAAATTTTATTAGAGGCCTAACTGTCATTAATTCATTCTTTTGAGACCTAAATGTGATTCTCCCTTATATAAATAGGTGTAGTCGTTAGTCCAGCACTCCACCTTGACTCAATCTCGTAACATAGAATATTTTTCATAATTGAATAAAAAATTCTAACTTTTTTTACCTTCTCTCTTTCTCCTTTCCTTCTCTCTCTCTCTTGACTCTTCCTCTTCCCACATCAAAAGAATCTTCCACGAGATGGGAATGAAAATTAATAGTCCCAGGTTTTGTATATAAGTGAAACTCTAATAATGAGTAAGGAGTATTTTAAATAGTTATAGAAAATGTATTTTTATAATTAAAATTTGATATTCTCCATAATATTTTAAAGAAAAAATATAACTGTTGGTTTGTATACTTTTAATATGTTTTGATATTAGTCACTATACTTTTTTTGTTATTCCAAATCCCTTAAATTTCACCTGTTTGCAACATTAGTCCATATTGTTATTGATGGAGTAAAATATAATAATTTATACATAACTCTTAATTTTATTGTCGGAGTTGGTAAAATTATTAATTAGGAATTGGGCATCATATGAGTAAAATAATTATTAGCCTTTCTACATGTTTTCCGTACTTGTTGTGTCTTATTTTTTTTTCTTTTTTGAAGTTTTATCCATTACATGTTTAAGGATCTCATCTTTTAGGAGACCAAAAACATATGATCCCATCTTTTACGAGATGACCCACAAAAAATGTGACCAAGGACAAAACCTAAAGCTACCTCTGAATCATTAGTTCACAACTTCATTTTTCTAAACAAACCACAATTTGGGAGACTTTATTTCTGATAATCTCCTCCTAGCAATGGAAGTGTCTCTCATCTCCATTATTATTCTTTTCCAAAATTATTCTTCTTCTCATTGGTGTTTGGTTGAGATCCAACAGATTCTTGAATCCAAACAATCTATTGAATACACTAATACCAAAAAAACCTTTTAGCATTGCTTTTTTAAGCCCTTCCACATCACTATTGAGAAAGATGTAATATTGGGCCGCAGTGGAAACAAGGGAAACCAATAGGAGCCACAGTACTCCTACCTTTTTAATTTTTTTAATAAAATGTAGGGATTATATATTACTAGCCCTCTAAGTTAACACATTATAGAAGCCTTAAAATACTAAATGAAATTCTTATTTTAATTTTGTAGTAGTCTTTTATACACGTGCAGGCCAACTGTTTCAATAGATTGAAAATATAATTGTCATAAGATTTACTTATTTTCAACAAAATAATATTACAATGGCTCTTAAAATGTTAATGTCATTTGAGTTTACTTTCATTCTATATTTGATGAAAGAAATTATGAGAACATATATATTTTTGTTATATACATGTGTGTGTGTAAAATTGAATATAAATATATACATTAAAATATTTATGTTATGTTAATGATGTGTGTGTGTGTGTGTGTGTGTGTGTATATAATAAATTTAATTTTCTTTCGATTATCATATATGTTTGATCATTTCAATGTCCTAATAAAATTTTCTAGCTTCGCCCTTGATTGGCACCTTAGAAAGTTAATTTATCTACATCACTTTTTGGAGTAACATGGAATAGCTATTGTTTTTTTTTTTTTGGATTGAGGATGATTTAAAATCACTTTCAATCCAAAAAAAATACCATATAATATTAAAAATAGATGGAAAAGAATAATAATTGACTAATTTTTTTTTCCTTTGCCAAAAAGAGATATTTTATTAAGGAAAAAAAAGTATTACCACTAATAGTTAAAGCTAACCAAAAAAAAATCCATATGAAGATAATTATGATAAAAAAATGCAAAAAGTAGGAGTTTTCTTTCAAGTGCGCTAATATGATTAAAAAGCAACTTAATAAAATAGGTTCACGAAATGCAAAGGAAGAAACTTGTTAACAGATTGAATATGAATCTATGACATGCCTCTGAACTGCTGATTGATTAGTATGGGTTGAAGAACAGAATACAGAGAAAACCACGGCTGCAATAAAAGAAAGCAAGGAAAAACAAGCAAATCGCACATACAAATAGGATAGAATGTTCTTTTATTACCAAGATAAATCGCAAATTTTGTTTGAATTTCAGAGATAAGCACAAAATAGCTTTTCGCCATTAAAGAAAAAATAAAAGAAAAGAAAATTATAAGATTCAATTTGATTCCTTAAACTCTAGTCCTTTATAAAAATTCTGATTTGCTCGTTAAATATAACATTAACAGCATTCTCAAGTATCATTTTCTTTTTAATTGAATTGAGAATGAAGTGTCATTTTCCTATAAAATTTAGCCTACTTTATGTTGTACTCGAGCTTCACATCCCTCTTTGAAGAGGATACAATTAACTAATTTTGACATTAAAGGCAATTATTTTGGAATATATATACCTGTTGACAGCAACAGACCATTTCTTAGAATATCTTGGACCACATAATTCTCCACCTCGTCCAAAAGCCAAAGTATGTTGAATCCAAAATTCAAACCCTTTCTATAAAAGCCCAAAACAAAATATTATTATGGGGGAATGGCATTAAGGGCCTTAAAAACAGACTTTATTGTAATTTGGGTCTAAATGAATCTGATATTTCTCTGCAGGCCTTAAGGCCCTTATTGCCAATTTTCTTGAGACCAAAAGTATGATTTTGCCCTTTGTTTGATTTGAATTCAAAACCTGCGTAAACTTTCAAAACAACGAAATAGATCATGCACGATATAACATCTACCATGCACAAGACAATGTCCACACATTTCAACAGAAAGTCCATGCATTTCAAGTATTTCACTAGCCTTAGCTTTAGCAAAAATGACTAGACAAACCATGCACGACACAATATCTACTATGCATGATATGACGTCCACGTGTGCTGAACAAAAAATTCACACATTTTCAATATTTCATTAGCTTAGGCTATAACAAAATGACGTTAGGCAGACCATGCATAACACAACATCCACTATACACAAGACGATGTCCATGCATGCTCAACAAAAAGTCTATGCATTTCCAATATTAAGAAGGACAATTACATCATATATGAATAATTTCATGTTGGTATTAGCCTAGGTACTAAAACAAGTAGCCATATGAAATTTGATACAATATTTCAAGTGTGATGTATACAAAAAGTTAGCCACTATATCCAAAATATCTAACAGTTGCTTCTACATATACAAACAAAAAATATTTGTGATTCCCACTTACTCAAAAAATATTATTTGAAAATGCTTTCATATACATAATTATAGTTGCTTATGTACACCAAAGAAGTATAATGTAACCACTTCTCACGCTGGGTTAGGATCTTGCATGTCTTGCGACTGTGTTTGGCCTTCTCACATCTTGAACAATGATAAATCTTCCTATCTTAGAAGACTCTATCCTCCTTGTTCATGGCCTCCCGGGAGGACGGCTAGTTAAAGACAATTGCAAGAAAAAAAAATTTTATGATATATTTTCACCTGAAAGTCCATGTGATTTCAATTTATCATTATGCTAGGCTTAACAAAATACTAAAGTTAGGCAAATAATGCATGATACAATATTTACTATGCACAATATAATGTTCATTTATTCTCAACTAAAAGTCCATAAAAGTCTACTTTATCAGTAAGCTGGGCTTGGCAAAATGCACAAGTAAGCAAACAATGCACAACACAATATCCACTATGCACAACATAAGGTTCATATATTCTCAACTAAAAGTCCATATGATTCTACTTTATCAGTAAGCTAGGCTTAACAAAATGCATAAATAGGCAAACAATGCATAACAATATCTACTATGCACAATATAAGGTCCATTTATTCTCAACTAAAAGTCCATAAGATTCTACTTTATCTATAGGTTAGGCTTGACAAAATGCAATGTAAGCAAACAATGCACAACACTATATCCTCTATGCACAACTTAAGGTTTATATATTCTCAACTAAAAGTCCATACAATTCTACTTTATCAATAAGCTAGGCTTAACAAAATACACAAATAGGCAAACAATGCATAACACAATATTCATTATGCACAATATAAGGTTCATTTATTCTCAACTAAAAGTCCATAAGATTTTACTTTATCAGTAGGTTAGGCTTGATAAAATGCAGATGTAAGCAAACAATGCACAACACAATATCCTCTATGCACAACTTAAGATTCATATATTCTCAACTAAAAGTCCATATGATTCTACTTTATCAGTAGGCTAGGCTTAACAAAATACACAAATAGGCAAACAATGCATAACACAATATCTATTATGCACAATATAAAGTTCATTTATTCTCAACTAAAAGTTCATAAGATTCTATTTTATCAGTAGGCTAGGCTTGACAAAATACAGATGTAAGCAAATAATGTACAACATAATATCCTCGATGCACAACTGAAGGTTCATATATTCTCAACTAAAAGTTCATGTGTGTCCAGTTTATCAGTTGGCTAGGCTTAACAAAAAGTTTCTCAAGTTAATGAAGAACAAAAGGTCCGTATATAATATGAAAGTATCCGTTTGCTAATAACACAATGTCCATATATTTATAATACAGGGTTTGTTGATATGATACACATAAATATTTGCACAACTTAATTGCAAAGTTTGCACAATGTAAACTCCATAAATAACAATATAAATTTCATAAACAACATCTACACCAGAATATTTATATCAGTTGCAAGAAAATATGTATCAGAAACAACAAAAAGTCCATAAATAACAACTTGTTTTCATTAAATGAACGTGAACGTACATTATGATTAGATAAAACTGATATGGCAGATGCAGCACTTGATCCATTCTTTCCACACTATGGTGAATCGTTTCAAGTTGGTTGGTGTGAGAGGAAAGTAATCGACGAACGCCTGATCGTCTTCTCCATACCCATCTGGATAAAAGTGAATCACCCACTCATATTTGTTGAACGAAAAAGTTTCAAATGAGAGAAAGAAGGAAGAAGGAGGAAGAAGAAGAGAGGGAATAGAGAAGCATGATAGGGAGGAAAATGAATTTGGTTATTGTATCAGTGTTGGAAGAGGAAGAGAGAGAAGGACAAGGGAGGAAGAACAGAGGAAGAGAGAGAAGGATGAACGGAGGAAGAAGAAGCTGGTTATGGGAGGGACAAATTAGTCATTTCACCAAAAAGATAATTGCAAATGAGGCCTTTAAGCCCTCAAATAATTTCAAAATCTATTAGATCTTATCTGCAAAATTCTTGCTTTTAAGGCTCTTAATGCCATTCCCCCTATTATTATTGAGACACATGATGCAGGATCAAAGTAGAAAAACAAGATGGCCCTCCTATATCTATAAATTTACACATGAGTTTGCTTCATCTCAACAGCCTACTAAGTCAACCTTATTATTAATAAACGAATTGCATGCATAGTGAAATCAGCGAACAAGGGAACTTTTAAATTAAAGTCACCTTTGCAACTTGGGAACTTGAATCAAATCCAGATGATTTGGGACCACCAATTAGTTATGGTCGATGATAAGAGTTCCAAGTGAGTGGACATGTCCACGCAAGCTGAATTATCAGGTGCAATTGACTATAATTACCTATATCACTTCTTTTATAAGTTAGTTAACTTAAACTTTATTCATGGTACAAAAGAATTGAAAACTTCTGGCACAGAAACCGGATGAAAAACAAGCAATTTTATTCTTTGCATTTTGAGCTCCTTACACAACCAAAGGGCCCTATTTATAGTTCTGGAATCGTGAAAAATTGAAGCTTACAAATTAAAAGGGAGGTTATGGAAATTAAGGGGAGGTTACAAGGAGTTTATTGTCCTCCATTATGCGTCTCCCGTTTCTGCTCTTTCCGTTTCATCTCCATTATGCGTCTTCCATTTCTGCTCTCTCCGTTTCAACTTCTTGTCATGCCCTGAAAATAAGGTGTGACAAACATAGAATATAGGAACAAAGCTCATATTCCAAAAGCCTTAATTAAGAAACTCTAAATTCTAAACTATGAAGATATTTGACAACAAATCAAACCGTTTTCCATATGAATAATAAGAATGAAAGATTTAATATTTTTGTAGACATTTTGATAGAACCTTCCCCAAAATAAGACCTCCCAAAAATTTTGATGACAGTATTTCTCAGTACAAAATAACATCAATAAAGAACTCTGCTCCTTCTAATAAACAAATTATGCATAATATATATATAAGGGTTTTAACTATAATTATGTGGAGCACCTATAGTAAGATCTACAAAACAAAAAGTCCATAATTTAAATATTTTACATGAAAAGGGGACTGGTCAATATAATCTCAATTTGTATAACTATAAGTATAGAATCAACATTCAAGCCATGATTCCTTAGGTAAAAAGAAATGAAGATTATCATGATAACCTTGTCAATAATAATAAAATGAATTTATATATGTGATAAATTAATTAAAAAATGTGCTTTATCAGGATTTTAATAGAACAATAATAAACATGAACATATAATCCATGAGAGTAAGTAATCAATCAAACACAGTACGAAGCTATGAAAACAAACGTGGACGCACAATCTACAAGAATAGATAACCAAATGTGGATTATGCCACGAAAATAAACATAGATGCTACCCACGAATATCAAATATGAGGACAAAGTCCACGAAATAAACTAGCTAGTCATAACTATGATGTGCCGAATGCTAATGAGACTATTGTTAGTAACCACTATTTTGTATATAGTCCCATCAAAATTAATTTTTCAAACATGCAAGAAAATAATAGCTATCAAGATATAATTTATAATTCCAACATCAAACTCACATGAATTATTTAGAACATCAATCATTTTCAATATAAATATTTATAACTATAATTTCTTTCACATTCCTTAGTCAAATTCCATGCTTGCCTTTATCAAGTAAAAGAATGCTAGAACTTGTAAAAATATTCTTGTAAATCTTAAGACACATTTTGTAAGAAAATGCACATACGCATAGCGTAATTTATCTATCCTTCAATATATAGACCATAACTTCACAGGGTAGGATAATTTAGCTAGTAAATTTTTTTTATCACTTAAAATAGTACATGTGATTTATATATGAATAGAATATTATTTCAATAAAAAAATTAGTTCTTGATTAGGATATTATTCACTTACCTATAATACCTTCAAAGTTCAACACTCACTTCTTACAACTCCAATTGAGCTACTTTTCTTACAATCACCCTATAAAATATATAAGATCTTAATGAACTTTACTTTTAAACCAACAAATCTCTCTTTAAAAGAATTCACTCAACTAAAATTAATAATAAAAACTTTGAAATTTTAGCAACAAATTTTACACACAAAAGTTTCTTCTTAGGCCTTTTACCAAATGCCTACTGTGCGACATTTCAAACCATTAAATAAATATGTAACCTTTAATTCTCTTGGTCAACTATTTCCAAACATCCAAGTATGACTTCTAAAACAATAATATACTTTTTAAATTTTCAACCTTGTAACTCTCAATAATCCAAGACTTAGATAAGATTTCAATAATTTCTTAAATAAACTCCTTTGTAAAAATCAAATTTAGATTTATAAATAACAATGTCTAAGCATTATCATTTATATCACTAATTTCCTCCATAATGCTTTAGTCATACCAACTGATTTACTTGAGATGAAATTTTCTCTTAAGCTTTGCATCAAACACTTTAAATACATTATTTTCAATCATAAAATTAGAATTTTCTAATCTTTTATCTTTCATCTAACAATTTATTAATAACCATATTATCCCCAAGAATTTAAAGTTGCATATAAATTCATAATAATCAAATTCCCTTAATTTGTAACCAATGAATTAAATTCATGGATCAATAATGTCTAAACTAAATATCTATCATAATAATTAATAAAATTTTATAAATATATAAAATCAAGCAAAACTTTTCTAAGGGGTATTTTATCGAATACCTTATGAGCATGAATTCTTTAACTATAACCAAACTTCTTTTTTTACAAATTTCATTTCCCTAAAGTTTCTAATGTCCTCATGTGAAATAATCCAGCTTTCCAAATGCTATCCTTCAACAAAAATCAAATTTAAATACTCAAAGGAAATCTAATTTCCAAGATCACATGACTCACGGCTAGCAGAGCAAAAATGGAGAACAAATTCAAAATATCAATCCATAGTCATATACACACAGCAACGAGGAACTCAATGATAGAAGCTTCTCACCTCAGATCTCGAATTATCACAAAAGAGAAGAGGGAGGAGCTCAGGTGTTGAACAGGGAAGGAGAGAAAGTGAGCTCTACACAACGGCACCTCAAAAATGGTGAGTTCTCAATGAGCACGGAGCAGGGGAGAATAAGTGAATCTCGGTTCAGATGATTAGAGAACAATCAATGAAGGAACACAGCCAAGCACTCACCGACGGTGGTCTAAATTGCGATCGAAGGTTGAAGAAGACACGAATGGATTTCAATCTTTATTTCTCTCAGCAATTCAGAACAGGATCAAAGAAGAAGAAGAAAGAGTTACACATCTGGTGGGAAATCTATGGCGCACCTCGACTCTGGCAACAGTGAACGGCGAAGAAACCATGGACTGGAGGAGAGAAGGCGAAGCTTCTGGACCAAAACTCCCATGCTCCCTCAACTGATATCCGATCGAAAATTGAATCAGGGAGGAGGAGAAACTCACAGCAGCAGCGGTGCAGGACACTCTTTAACGCACCCACGGTGGCGACATTGATGAATGAAGAGGAAGGATGGAGAACGCTGGTGGAATCAGAGAGGAGCAGAAGCTGAAGGTTCTCGATTTGATCTCCCACTTTTCTCTCGTATGACTCCTGAATGTGCAACCAAAATGGGAAAATAAAAATCTGATTATAATGGCAAAATGGTAATTTAAAAGGCTAAAAAAATAAAATAAAACTCCAGTGCCCCACTAAGATTCAAACTTGGGAACTATAGATGAGGTAGTCGTATGATTTCCACCAATTTCTACCAGATCAAGATTCTTATTTAGATACTTGTTCCAAAAATTAATAAAAATATCATCAAATACTTAAATATAAATTTCAATTTTTGATTTAAACTCCAAGGTTTTTACACTTCTACTCATAATTGTTTGAGTTAAAAATACAAAACAAGAACAAGATATTGTCAAAACACAACCGAATCAATTTGCAGCACAAAATAGAAAAGAAGAGAAGCGCAAAATCATGGAGAACCATTTACATGGTTCAATTAATTAATCGCACAATTGAATTAGCATCACAACCCAGACTATTATAAAGCATGACTAGTTCTTCTCCCCAAAGAATCCAGTATAATTAAGAGCAGCAATCAAGATCTAAACAATGCTCTTAAATCTCTCTTCTTTATCCAAAAACAGAGTCGTTCAAGAAGGGACCATAGTTGCTTGGTAAGGAGATAGAGATAACAAAAGCCACTGATTGAAATTCCTTTTATAGGTGACTCACCAACAGCCTTTATTTTCTTCACATTTTAAATTTTTATGTTGAAGCCATAAACATACTCGCTCAGATCATATATTGTTATGTCCCAAAAATTAAGGCTTGACCGGTACAGAATATGTGTGTAAAACTCATATTCTCAAAGCTTAGGACACATTTTTTCATTCATGCAAAACTAAAGGCATATTTTTGATATAAAATATATTATCTCTAATTGATTTCATATAAACAAAACAATAAATTTCTTATAAAATTTTTTAATAGGACCTCCATATAAATAAGACTTCTTAAAATTTACGATAAGAACAACAATAGTTGAATAAAAGGATATCCACTCCTTACCAACAAATATACAAGTTGAGATAAAATGCCTCAATTAACACCTTCAAAGTTGAGATACAAGTTTAGCTTATATCATCTGAGATAAAAAAAATATTTTTTAATGAAAAACGCCCCAAATCACAATTAAAGGAAATGAAAGATATAAATATAATCATGGAATAAGCATAAATTTAACTAAAATAGTCATTCCGAATAACAAGAGTGCATAACTCAAATCAAATAACTTCATTTAAACAGTTAATGCAAAACAACCTTGTGTGATGATAACACAACAATCAAATGCCACTTTCTAACTATCAGGCTCATATTAAACAATTACGAGATGCACAACTAATTATTATAAAAAAAATCCATTCAAGAAAATCAATTTGTTTAACACGATTAGTTTAAAAATAATAATTTCAAAATATTCTTCACCATAACTTTATCAGAATGGAGATAACAATCGTGGATACAAAAATTATAAGGGTAAATAACCAATCGAGTGTGCACACACCATCCATAAGGATAAATAACTAGTCAAATGAGGCAGAAAACCACAAAACAAGAGTGGCAGGAGCCCTGAATTAAGCATAAGTATGAGACCAATGAAAACAAAGGTGAGCACAATTCTCATGAATTACCATCCCCCCGATCCATGTGCATTGGCCATTGTACAATGCTAGCGTCTCCTAAGCTCCCTATTAGCTAAGTGTATCATAGCACGCCAAGGGCTAACAGGACAACTGTTGGCAACCAGCGTTCTATATTTAGTCCCACTGAAAGATTTTCAAACATGTATGAAATTTAATTATCAATGGAATACCATACCATTTTTCAAATATTGAAATTTAGAAAAGAATATTGTTAATCATAAAACATCCTTGACACAAGTTCTCATGCTTGGGTGTTTGTAATCAGGATATTGAAAAATAAATAAAACCAAACAAAATCTTTGTTTTAAACTAACCTTTAAATTTCAATAATAGAATTAAAATCATAATATCATGTTTGTGTGTGTGTGGAAACATGCTCAATTGATATTTTTAGTAAAAAATGAATTTTATTAATAAGTTATTAGGATGTTATTTACCTACCCAAGACATTTCCAAATATATAATTTACTCTTAATTAGCCATTTTTGTAATATTGTCCATGCCTTAATTCCCTAATACCCAAAGGAACATTATTGTTATTTCTTTCATACACTTTATAAATCTAAAATCTTCAATCCAAACAAAATTTAGAGAATTAAAAAGGAGAATACCAACATCAACCTTTCACAAATTAGAAGCCATTTGAATTCAATGATAAATCTTCAACAAACACATATATAAATAATATTCAAAGTTTCCAAGTCTACCAATAATCAATTTCAGCTAAAAAGAAAAACCCTAATCTAAACCTCCCCATTTATTAAGTAAAAGAGGAATACAAACGCAGCAACCAACATTATTGTATAAAGCAAAAGACCAGGCAGTACGAAAAGAAGAACAAAGCACTTAGCACAATTAAACAAGAAAAAGCAATATGAGCAGCTTTAGTTAAAACTTTATTCATTCACTAACAGGTGCACGAATCCGTACCCATTTTTTTAAAAGCCAAGAAACCAATTAAAGTGGAGCCCACCCAACTAATGCAAACTCCTCAAGCTTCAATTTCAGCACTAGGCAGGAAAAACTCCATCTCATTTTCCCCACTCACAATTACAGACTGAAACTTAGGGAAGAGATAAAATTCAAAATTTCAGCCACCCAATCACACACTCACATGCAGATTAGATATGAGAAAAAGAAAATAAGGTGGAATTTGGCTCACCGATCAAGCAAAGAGGAACGCGAAGAAAGGGTCAAAGTCCCTTCACCAGAAGGGCGGTGATGGGGCAGGGGAACTGAACGAAACCAAGGAACTGAAAGGCAACTGGCAGTGTGGATAGATGATGACGAGAAGAAGAATGGAAGCATTGAGTGCACCTGCTTGCACCCACACAACAACATTGACGGAAGACAGGAACGAGAAAAAAGTTCTGGCGACGCAAAACAGAATTGAGAAGAGAAATCCGGTGGCAATGAACCCACGGCAATGGAGGAAGCATAGACGAGCTGCCGCACTGGTCGACGACGGCTGAATGATGGAGGAGGAAGAAGGGAAATGTAGGGTTTGAACGAAGAATGATCTCTCTCTGTTCTAGTTTTTTCCGGAGCATATGAAAATGATCGATTAGAGGAAAAACAAATTAGAAATGGCCGAAGTATATTTCTCTTGCATTTTCTTTCGTTTTTTTTTTCCCTAAAAGGGCATTTCAATAATTTCATGTGACTTGACAAAATAAGCTGTTCCACCTAGACAACCAATAAAATTTCCTTAAAATTTATAACAATACTCTTAAATTTTATTTGTTAATTAATTTTTTTTGGATTGTTACATAACTATTTTTTCTACTATTGTTGGATCCCCCTCCGTTTTCTTTTTTCCTTTACAATCATTGATTTTTTTAAAATTAATTATTTATTGCATTTTTTTAAATTTCTAAATTCCCTGGCCATTACATATATATAATTGATTCCTCGTGTCTCAGGTTGCAAAGCAGAGGAATGCCAAGCTGAATGATGCAACCATTAAAGGAACTTAATGGTCTTCAAAAAATGTAGATTCCTCAATAACATTTTGATTTTCTTTGACAAAAACTCTTAACTCAGTAGAGAGGTTATGTATATGCTTGCTCTTTTGTATTCTTTGGATGTACTGATTTTTCAGTTTATAATATCAATAGAAAGTGAAGAACATGTCAACTTGCCATGACCTGTTTCTTAGTTTTGTTTTCATGCAAGTTTAATTGTATCATAGCATTTTGGGTGAAGGTAAGAAAAATTTGGAAGTTAGGTATGTATTAAGGGAAACGGTAAATTATCACCTATTAAACAATGAGGGGATAGAAAATTGTTCACTATCTATCATTGAAAATATGTAATGTTGTGAATGCTGAGTTATGGGGCTTAATTAATTACTGGCCTTAAGCAAAGTTAAGAGGCAGGATTTAGGAAGATGGAAGTGGAACTAGATGCAGCAGTATTGGTCAATCAGATTCAGATTTGAAGCTTGAACGTAGGGGAAAAGGCAAGCTTTTGCAGAAGGTGTATAGTGGTTTAAGAAGGGATTGGGAAGTCCAAGTGTATAACGTGGCTTGTGAAGGGAATAAATGTGCTGACTTTTTTTTTTTTTGGGGACGGGTGATAGAAATAGCTTTCTTCTTAAGTTTCTTCTTCCTTTTCTCTACATTTTAATGTATCTTTTGCTGAATATTGTTGTTTTGTGCTGTTTGAATGGCTGTTAGTAGCTGAACACGTTTGACCTAGAGTAACCATGAACTTGTTGGTGGATTAGAACTTGTTTTTACCCATTGGTTATGCTTAATATTAATTTTGGTCGCTCAATGTTACATTAATTTGTCTATTTAATGTTTGGCCATCATTAAATATGAATTTAAGTGTTGGGGTTTTTCCTTGATAAAGGAAAATCTCATTTGGACCCTTAGATTGAGTAATATAAGATTAGATTATGATTTAATTTATAATTAGGATAGAAAAATACCTAATTGTCTCATATAATCAAATTAGAGTGAGTTAAAATTAAAGTTGCCTCTTGGATAATTTTGTTAGAAATAATGTAATTAATTAATTTGAGAGAGGGTTATTTGAGGTTCGAAAAGCCCTTATAGCCATTAATACTCTAGATTAATAAAATTAACATTAAAATTAATTAATTGGGTAAAAAGCAAGATCTATAAAGTTAGCAAGGGATTAGTAACTCTATGTTACATTGGACATTTGTAGTTGTTGCATTGGGAATCTCATTGCATTTCATTCATTTTACTTTTTAATTTTGCCTAATCAATCGCTTCTAATTGATTTTGCTTAATGTGAACAAAAAAAAAAAAGGGAACTTTATTGCCTAATTTCTATTATGCTTGATTCCTTGTGGGATCGATCATAACATATAATTATGTTGCACTTTGACCCATACATTTGCAATGAAATATTTTGTGTACATCAGGGGGTGTGCTAATTTGAGTCTCAATTTGATAGAAGGTATTAATGTGTGGCATATGATATGGTTGAAGATTTATTCATTTAGCAGATAAGTGTGGTTTACGGGCTAGGTGTTTTCTTGCTGTTTGTTTCAGTTTGCTTTCTTGCTAGTTTTTCTATTTTGGGCTTTGTCTCATCTTGAACCAAAAAAACGAAGAAAAAATTTATTTTGCTGCCTAACCAGATGAGTATTGGGTTGGTTTCTCATCTATTTCCATGAGAAAATATTTTTTGTTAAAAGAAAACAAAGGTAGAGTTAAGGTGCCGGTCGGGATTGCCCGTATGTAATGGTTAAAATAGAAAGGAAGCAGAGTAGAAGACTCCAAAATAATGAATTAATAAATTATTAAAGATGACAATACTATAATCTTCCACTTACAGAGAAAAACATAAAATAATAATCCTGAAAGACGACAAAATATTGAAACTAACTTTGTTTTGCCGCCAAACCAGATGAGTATTTGAGTTAGGTTTCCTGTCTATTAATTCCAAGAGAAAACTAGCAAATGGAAGAATCCAAAATAATAAATTAATAATTGATAAATTACTAATAATGCAATATCAAGTATCCATCGTGTTGACTATAAACTTTCCCTGAGACGTACTAGCTAGATCAAATATTAGTTGAAGCTGTCTCTTGATTACTATTTCACGCCTTCTAATTTTTTTGCTTCAATCAAACACAAACTTTCAATGGCAATTAGCGCTGAAACAGCCTCTATGTCCTCCTCTTCAGCTATCTCACCATGGAAGTATCATGTTTTCCTGAGTTTCAGGGGAGCAGATACTCGCACAGGCTTCACAGACCACTTAAACAAAGAAGTATCGAAACTTTTATCGATGACGATGAGCTTGAGAGAGGAGAGATTATTTCTGACCAACTACTTCAAGCAATTGATAAATCTCTCATCTCCCTTGTGATTCTTTCTGAAAAATATGCTTCTTCACATTGGTGTTTGGATGAACTCCAAAGAATTCTTGAATCTAAAAAGTGTTTGGGGAGAGAAGTTATCCCAGTATTCTATAAACTAGATCCATCTCATGTAAGATATCAAGGAGGAGCCTTTGCACATGCATTTCAAAAACATGTTGAGAGATATGATCCTAAGAAGGTGCAAGGATGGAGAGATGCCTTAAAAGAAATTGCAGATATATCTGGCTATCACTCTTTAAATAGGCAAGTTTTTATTATTTCAGCGCATGGATGATAAATTATTTTGTCTTCAACTCATCTTCCAACGATAGTATTTAATATTGCATGATTTAGATATATTTTGGTAAGAAAATATTATTATCAGATAAATGATCGTTCTTTTCTCTCTTTATTCCTCATCATAGGGTCAGAAAATTCTATTATTCTTAAATAAAATTCGACCACTTAGTTGATCTTAATTATCTAGGCATGTTAAATATAATTTTTAATCTTTGCTAAAATAATCGAAGTCTATATAAATGAATCTGAATTGATATATACACCTTGAGAAGTTGTAGAAATGAATCTGAATTCCATTAATTATATAGGTTCAAGAGGAGGGGAATTTTTTTATATTACCTTATTTTGTTTTGTTAGAAGGGAGGAGAGGGATTTTTAGGGCCTGTTTGTTATTTATTTTTTTAAAACTATTTTTATTTTTAAAAATAAAAAAATTAAAAACTTATTTGGATAAGTATTTTTTATTTAGTTATTTTCAAAACTGTTTTTGTTTTGTTTTTTCAAAACAAGATTTGTTTTTAAAAATAAAAAATCAAAAACAATTTCAAGTTGTTTTTGTTTTATTTTTTTATTTTTAAGATACGTTGTATTTTATTATTAAAAGTTATAGTTAACTTGATGAATTTCTATTATAAATTATTATCATTAACCATCTACAACTATCACTATTAGTTTATTTTTAAATTTTAAAATTATTTTTAAATTAATATAATCAAACAGATTTTCAACTAGATTTGTTTTTAAAAACAATTCTAAAAATTGTGTTACGTGACAGTTTTTTTTAAAAAGAAAATTAGAACAAAAATCAAATATGCCCTTAACGATCATTTGTTTGGTTCAAGAGGTGATAAATAATTTATTATCATACTCTAACATGAAAGATAGGAATGTCGCACAACCATCATGAGTGGGGCCCAAAAGAATAGGAGAAAAACAACACAACTTTCTACTGCAATTATGCGTATACAATTGCAAGAAATGACATGGATTGCTTTTGAATTAAAAACTAACGTTAATTATTAGAGTGTTCAAACTAGGCCCCATATAAGAAACTTATTTATAAATAAGTTTCATGACTTTGTGAAAATACACTCAAGTTACTTGGCTACAATTAATTTCTCATATAAAATAACACAAATACCCTTAAATTTTCACCTCTTTGACTAGCATTGACTGGACACCGGTAGTTGTTGACCAATCATCGACCAGCTAGCATTGACCAGTCAAAAATAATTTTTAAAATTTTTTATTAAAATATTAATACTTTAAAAATTGCAAGTCAAACATCACATATTAACAAATAAATATTTAAGATTTACAAGTAAAATTCTTTATATTTACAAGTCAACCTCTTACAATATTAATTCATTTATTTTTTTGCCAAAGTAATACTAATACTTTAATATTTTCAAATTAAAGTTCACAAATTTATGAGTTAGACTTGTAAATTAAGATGTTTTAACTTGTAAGTCTATGAAGTTGACTTGCAAATATTAATCTATTAATATTGTAAGAGGTCAACTTGTAAATGTAAGATGTTTGTTCTGTAAATCATGATGATATACTTGTAAAGTGATGTTTTACTTCTAAATATTAAAATATGAAAAATTCAGTGAAAATATTTTTTCAAAAAAAATATTTCTTGATTGGTCAACGTTGGTCAATGACTGGTCAACAGCAACCAGTCATAGGTCAACGACTGCCAACACTAGTCAAAGGAGTGAGAATTCAAGGACATTTGTGTCATTTTACATGGTAAATGAATTATAACCAAGTCTCATGAAACCTAATTGTATCATCACAAATTTGTGGAACTTATAAGTTTCTTGTATTTGATCTATTTGTAATTGTAATTTTCCCTTACAATTATTTGGACATTTGAGTATTACTTTTAATTTTTTAAATTTGAAAATATTCTATATTTGTCATATATGTGAATGAAAACTAATTTTATGATTATTCTTCTATTTCATGTAGGCATGAATCAAAGCTCATCGAGGAAATTGTCACACAGGTTTGGACAAAATTACAACCTAGACAACCATATGACAAAAATGAATTTGTGGGTATTGAGTCAAAGATAGACAAACTGAGTTCAATTTTAAGGATAGGGTTGGATGATGTATGCTTGCTTGGAATATGGGGAATGGGCGGTCTAGGCAAAACATCTCTTGCAAGAGCTATTTATCAGAGGATTCAAAGCCAATTTGATGCCTCATACTTCTATGCCAATGTTCGGGAAATTTCTAAAAAGAAGGGATTGGTTCACTTGCAGAGAAAATTTCTTTCATGTTCTCTACAGCTGAGAAACAAGGAATTTGATCATATTGATGATGAATATGAAGGAAAGAACATGATAAAAAGATTTTTATGCAAACAGAAAGTTTTAATGGTATTGGATGACGTTAGTGAAATGAGCCAACTCGAATTCCTTGCAATAAAGAAAGATTGGCTAAGTCCAGGAAGCAGAGTAATAGTGACAACTAGGGATAAGCAACTATTGACAGCGCATGGAGAATTTGAAACATATGTGGCAGAATTTTTGAATGATGAGGAATCACTTCAACTTCTTTGTCAATGGGCTTTTAAAAGTGATCAACCACCAGTTGATTATTTGGAGTTGTCTAAAAGTGTAGTTGAACAAGCCGCAGGCCTTCCTTTGACACTTAAAGTGATGGGTTGTCATCTTTGTGGAAGAAATATGCTTGAGTGGAAAGATGTTTTGGGGAAAATGAAGCAAGTTCTACCAAATGACATTATAAATAGACTTCAAATAAGTTATGATTCATTAGATATTTTGGAGAAGAAAATATTTCTAGATGTTGCATGTTTCTTCAAAGAAAAGTTTAAAGATGAAATCATAGAAATATTAGAAATTTGTGGGTTTCATCCAATTATTGGAATCAAGACACTTGTTGAGAAATGCTTGCTAGTTGAAACAGATAGAGGGTGTTTGGGTATGCATGATATATTACAAGAAATGGGAAAAAGTATTGTTTTGGAAGAATCAATTGATGTTGGAAAACGTAGCAGGTTATGGTCAAAAGAGGATATTAATCATGTATTGACACATAATAAAGTAAGTTTATTAAGTATTTGGCAACATTTTATGTATTTATTTTTGAAACTTTTATATTTACTATTTACATTGTTCATCATCTTTAATTAGTTGTTCGATAATTGTTGGTCACTAGGGCACAGACTCAATTGAAGTTATATATCTTGAATCTCTTGGGCAATGTGAAGCACGATGGGGTCCTAAAGCATTCTCAATGATGCATGCTCTTAGAATACTCATCATATCATGTGATGTGTACCTTCCCTTTGGACTCAAGTGTCTTCCAAGTTCACTAAGAATTCTTCGGTGGAAGAAATATCCATCGAAATCTTTTCCAGTGGATATTCATCCAATTGAACTTGTTGAACTCAAAATGCAATGCAGTAATACTGTACAACTTTGGAATGATACACTTGTAAGTATATGGTACAATAACTTCAAGCTTACCTTATATTAAGCTAGATTATTATTTTGAAATGTTCATGTATAATATTTTCTATGCTTTGTTCGTTTTGGCTAGATGTTTGAAAAGCTGAAGTTTATGGATTTAAGTCATTCTGAAGATCTGATTTATACTCCTAATTTTTCAATGCTTCCAAATCTTGAGCGATTGATTCTTGAAGGCTGTGTAAAACTTATTAAGGTTCATCCATCCCCGGGACAACATAAGAAAATTAATATGGTGAGTTTGAAAGATTGCAAAAATCTTAAAGCTCTACCTAGTAGACTGGAAATGGATTCTTTGAGAAAATTGATTCTCTCTGGCTGCTCAAAATTTAGAAAGCTTCCTGAGTTTGGGGAAAACATGGAGTACTTATCAATAATTGAGTTGAAAGATTGCAAAAATCTTGCATGCCTTCCAGATTCTATTAGTAACTTAAAGTCTCTTAAAAGTCTCAATATAGATGGCTGTGCAAAATTTCAATCATTGCCAAATAATTTGGATGAAAACGAAGGTATAGAAGAGTTGGATGTGAGTGGAACTGCTATAACATCAATACCTTCATGCATTGTTGGTTTGAAACATTTAAGTAAGCTATATGTAGATGGATGCAATGGTTCTTCATCAAACTCATCACGAAACCTACTCTCCCTAATTTCAAGAACACTTGGATTCACAGGTTCTGAAGCTCCTATAAGGTTGACAATTCCTCCTTCTATCTTTAGCTTATCCTCACTAAGAAAATTAAGGTTAAGGAATTGCAATCTTAAAGCTGGATCAATTCCGGATGATCTTGGCTGCTTCTCATCTTTACAAGAACTTGATCTTAGTGGGAACAACTTTGGCTACCTTCCTGCTGGAAGTTTGGTTTTTCCTCCTTCATTATTCTCAAGTTTATCATCATTGAAAGAACTGAATTTGCAAGACTGTAATCTCAGTGATGGTTCAATCCCTGATGATCTTAGTTCATTATCATCCTTGTTTCGCTTAAATCTATCCAGAAATAATTTTACTAAGCTACCTTATGGCCTTGTCTCTAATCTGTTGAGTCTTCACTCTCTAGATTTGAATCACTGCAAGAGGCTCTTGTCATTTCCAGATGTTCCACCGAATGTGTCATTTATAAATGCAATTTGTTGTCATCCCTCAATGGAACACTTTTCAGAGGTATTGTGGAAGTTCCTTTCATCATCTTATTTGAGATATATCCCAAGAGAATTGCTTGTTCCAGGGAATGAAATTCCATCATGGTTCCATAATCAAAACTTTGATTTTCTTCATGAATTTAAGTATTGTGGCTGGGGAATTAGACGAAGTCGTATGCTAGAGGACGAGGTTGATAAAACGAATAATCTTGTTGATTGCATTATATCAATAAAAATAGACATCTCTCGTTTTCGTTGTTCGAACAAAAAGTGGGGAGTTTCTCTATGTCTTGTAGTACAAGGCACAATGCCATCAAACTGTAGAAACCCATACAACTCTGTTTATATTTCAATTTTTGTAACTCCTGAATCAAATGATTCATGGTTTGAAACAAGATGGAAGCTGGATCTAGAGGGCAATCAACCTCATCTTTTCATCTTTTTCCTTACTCCTAGTGGCTTGCAATATGGTCGTGGGGAACTACATACAGACGAACTTAGGTTGACATTGATGACACGTAGAACGACCATTTGGAGTGTTAATGGGCATGAAGCGAAAAAAGACGATAGTAAAAGTGGAAGACGAGGTTCATTTTCAATAAAAAAGTGTGGGTGGCGTTTGGCAAGCCAGGAAGAATTAGGAGAATATGTTGAAGAGTGGCAGAGAAAAATGAGTGAATGCAGTTCCACAAGTCATCAAGAACTTGGAGAAGACGATGCTGTTTGATCAACCTTTGTATGTGAAAAGTAGAGTTGGTTGTTGCTGTATTCAAAATCAATCAGTTTAAGGTACAGTTTAATTAGTGATAAAAATTAAATTGTCAATTAGTATATGAGCTAAAGAATGGGAGAATAAAGTTTTGCATCCGTTCTTTTATTGAAAAAATATATTATATATCTTGTGTCAATTAATGAGAATGATTTTATGTATGTAGTGGGAAGCACAGAGTACTCATCATACAATCCAAAGCTGATTAAGAAGATCACCGACATCAAAAGGATAATTTGCCACTGCCTTTGACGATGAAACAGAACAACAGGCTCAAGTAGTTCTTCCAAAATGGTAACATTATTGAAACAGCCATTTATGTTGCAATTTATAAACATAAATATATACGTTGGTGTTGATAATAAAAATTTAAGTGGTTTTCAAAATTGTCATATCAAAGCCATATTATAATGTTAAAATAATCTTTAGAATTGATGAACATTTGAGAGACAGTATTCTTGGTCGACTTGGAGCATGCCAAAACTTGTTGCTGGTAAGGGATTGGATTCGTGGCTTTGAATTATGTGAGAGAAATGGAATTGTTGTATGTTGTTTCACATTTTCTTTCAATATTTATATTGATTTATAATCAATTTTCGAAAGCAAATTGAATGAGTTCTTTCAGCTATCTATAGTTCAACAAATTAAATAAATATAACATCTTCCATCTTTAAAAATTATGTCTATAAAACAGAGTACCAATGTTAAAAATACCCAGTTGATCTCTCTCTCTCTCTCTCACTTCTAGTGACGTTAACAGGAAATCCTGTGTAACAATCTAAGCATGGCAACAACAAATATTATTGTACTGTTCAGTTAGAAAACTAGAATTTTGTGTTTCATTACTTCCAAAATCAGGTATATTAAGCTATTGTTTCGGTTCTTTTTGGTTGCGTGAAATTTGAAATATTGCATTAAAATGGAAAGTTAAAATTAAATTAAATTGTTACGTTGATTAATGTCAGCTTAAATTTGAAAAAAAAAAGTGCATGCTCTCTTTTACATTAAAAGTAAATCTTCATTATTATATATCTTATACGTCAATTAATAAACAATAATTCTATGTTGGAATTGGCAGGCATGGACTCTGCAAATAATATTCAAAGTTGATTGGGAGCTCGCTGACACCACATGGAAATTTTGCCACAGCCTTTGATGCTGAAACATCACAACACATTCCCTTATTTACTCAAAATTGGTAACTCAACATCTTCCTTTTATGCACGTGTGCTAAACCTTAAAATTTCGTTGGTCTTCAAAATGTTAATATCAATGCCATTATAGCGCTAAAATATCTTCAGAACTGATGAACCAATAAGATCAAGCAATATTTTGACAACTCTCAGGGCCTTAAGATGGACACAAATAGTGAAACTAACCTGTGACATATTCTTGATATAATTGGAGCATTGCAAATTCTTTTGTTACTAAAATTTGTTGGGATTTCATAGGTTTTGATTGCATGGTAATGTTTTAAAACAATATATGGCGGAAAATGGAGTGTTTGTTTGATTTTGTTCTTATTTTTCATTTTTATAACTATTTTGTAAACCACAGTTTTAGAAATTGTTTTTTAAAACAAAATAAAAAATATCTGTTTGATTATTTTAATTTAAAATAGTTTGAGTTTAAAAAAATTGCTAATAGTGGCAGTTGCTAGTAATTAATAATAATAGTTTATGATAATGATTAGTCATAGTTGATGCCTATCGATGGTTATTAGCCAAGGTGATTGACGATAGCTAATGGGGGCAACTGGCTAGAGGTAGTGTGGATGGGATTGTTAATATTGATAACTACTGATGGTGATGGCTAACATCAGTAACCAATGGTGATAGTCGGTGATGGTTATTGATTATAGTCATGGCTAATGATGGTGGAAGTGGTGGTAAAAATTAGTATAAAAGCTAAAAATTTTAATGTGGAAAAATAGCTCTGCACATTTTATTTGAATTCTTTAATTTGTTTGAAGAACAAAATAGCTTTATGTATCATGTCAGTTAATAAGCAATAATTTTATGTTTATAATGTCGAGCATAGACTCTAATTCAAAGTTGATTGAGCAGCTAATCAACACTAAAAATATTCTGCCATGGCCATTGATGCAGAAACAGAACAACCCATGCAGGTAGCTAGTTACTGCAAATCAGGCAGAACTGTCATTCTCCTAAGTTTTTTCATGTGGAAATTACAAAAAAGTCCAATCATATCATAAAAAATTATTATGATATCTATAAAACAGAGTATCAATTTTAAGAAGAACCCAATAGCTTCTCTAACAATTCGAGTACGTCAAATTAAATCCATAAAACAAAGCACCAGTGCTAGATGAATGTTTTTTGCTCATGATTGCTTCTTCTTTTATTTATTTATTTTCTTATACAAGCCAGAAGTAGGCTCAATCAACAGTAAAGATTATTTCCTCAAAAGTACAAAGGCAAAATATAGACCTCTCCCAATTAAGTTGATACATACACAAAGGTCAGATTCAAACCCAACAGTTGCTTGAATGCTTCTTATTTTTGACAAATAAATGCTGGTAGGAAACTAGAATTTGTGAACTTGATTTCAAAATTAAGTAGATTAATGTATTATTTTCTCTTCTGTTCACGAGAAAATTCATTAATTAATTGTTTGCATTAGATAATAGAAGGATAAAATTAAATTGTAAATTACTGTATCTAAATACATATACAAGTTTTGCAACTAAATATTTTCTTTCAAGAACTAGTTAATGTAAGTGTGTGTGTGTGTGTGTGTGAGAGAGAGAGAGAGAGAAATCATTTGCTACTGTGATTTATTTCAGTAAATAGTGTGTGTGTGAAATCATTTGCTAATTTGATTTATTTAGTAACTATATATGTTTCCATGGCACGTAGCCTCTAATATGCTGAATAATGGAATCATGCATGTGTTCTCGAAACAAGGGATATATATATATATATATATATATATATATATTATATTCTATTTTGTGCAATCAAAATTAATAAAAAAATTAGAATTGAAACTTGGAGGTTTTCCTTTGAAAATTTACACAATCTGAAGTTGGGCATACCAAAGAAAAATTAAAAACATATTTAATACAACAAAGAAAAATTTGGATGTTATATGCATCCAGTGATCGAATACTTGATCCTACACGATTCAATTGAAAGTTTAGTACAGATTTCCTATTCCTAACTGCCTTTATAACAAATAAAAACACAATTAAATCAATAAACACAACATTAATACAAATAAAGGTATAAATTATCATCTACTAATCCAAAATCAAACTATATATAACAATCCAAAACAAAGGTTTACTACATAAATTGAACATTCCTATGAACAAAATACAAAGCCAACCAAACATGTAATAAATGATCGATATAGAAGAAAGATAAAGGAACAAGGAAACTATTAATTAGTGCTGGATTTCAGTTCATGCCAACAATCTTCTGCATCCCCAACCTTAATCATCCTCCATTTCTGGAAAGAAAAAGGGAATTGTATCTAGAAATAAAATGAAATAGATACATTTTCCTTTTTCCATCTAAAAAAGAAAATACTTTTCTACCAACCAAACGGTCCAAAATGAGTAAAAGTGAGCAAAACTAACCCTCAAATAATATAGAAGGAGCCCTCAAAAGTCATCGTCTAAGTGAAGCTATTCATGTTGGGTCAGCGATGGTGCCATAGCACCATGATTCTGATGATAGATCCATGTACTGGGAATATCATTTTTTCGCCATTACTCCAGTTTTAGCACGAGTTAACATTTCTCAAGTCCTTTCAAAATCACTCTCTTTGATGTCTTTTCGTGAAAATTCCAAATAAAAGTAATTAGTGAATAATGCCTGATTTACAGTTAATTTGATTTTTTTCTTCAATTTTTCAGTATTCGACAATCATTCACGTAAAAGCTATGAACTAAATTCTTTAAGAAAAACTCTTCAAAACATATATATCCAAATCTTGATTATGACTCCCAAATCACCCCTTATATTTCAAAGGTGTTAAAAACTGGATCAGCCATTAAACTAAATGAGGCACTAGTTTAACAGTTAATGGCTGAGCCATAGTTGAATTGGTTATAATTAATTTAATATATTTTAAATTTTAGATGTTAAATTTCACATTAGAAATAAAACTTGTGAGAATATTACAAGGTTCATGGATAAATAAAATTAAAAAGCAAAAGAGTGAAAGGTAGTGTTTTCTTTAATCTAACAAAGAATCTTCATTAAGATTGCTTAACAAAAAATATGCCCGTTTCCAGAGCACATGATTCTTTATATAGACACACATACACTATATACACACACACACACATATTTTTACCATTCAACATACTAATGCCTTCGGTAGGATGAAAGAGTTTTTTTTTTTTTTTTCAAATGGATGTGGAAAAGTTTTTATATTTACGTAAGCACCCTTGTTTCATCATCGGCTCCTGGAGACTATATACAAGACATAACAATGATATATATATATATAAATTGTGCGCGCGCACAATTTATATATATATATATATATATATGTCAAAAAGGCACAAGTCTGTATGTTTTCTTATATAAATATATATTTGGTAAAATGGAAGCTAACAAGCACAATTTACACAAACTATGGTGAAGTGAAGGGCAACAAAAAATGATTGTTGTTACCAATGGGGGTTAGATCTAGTGAAATGAGCTAATACCTTACAACATCATACACAAAGGTTCAAATTTTCATTAGGAGAAGTGCTCATATTTAATGCCCAAATATGTTTTGAATAGGATTACTTTTAAAATGTGTTTGTAAATAGCCCTATTGTGCCCACATTTAATATGATGATACCTATGATAGAGATCTCTATCGAATTTGGATTCAGTAACTATACTTAGTATAAGTATTGAGTGCCTATAATATCTGAATCGTTAAAATCTAAATTAACCGTTTAAATAAATTTACTTATTCATTAATCTCAAGTGGATGAATTTAGAAATATCGATTTGAATTTCAACAATTCAGATGCTACATGTACTCAATATCTAAATTAAGTACAGTCACTGAATCCAAATCTAATTTCTATCATCATTATGTGGGGTAGAAGGTAGGGTTCTTTATAGAGATTGATTGTTCCAATTAAAATGTGTTTGTGAATAGCAATTTGTTCAAACGTCAACATCATGTTAATAAATTTCAAGCGTTATCCTCCAATCAAAGTTCACATATCGTTGTAGTGATCTCTCCATCCTCTAACTGCCTTAATTTGTTCATTAATTTGCACGACTTTATAGTTGATGCATGCTGAGTATTATAAATAGAGATTTACATAATAGTATAAAGCTAAGCTAAACGATAAGTTTTCCCTACTTTGTAAGCTGTAAACCAAGAATGTCTTCCTCAAGTCCTACTTCTCAAAAAAGGCGATCCATAACCAGTTTTAGTCCCAATATTTGGCAGTATCATTTGTTTGCCTTTGCTTCTGCTCCTATCCTGCTAATTACACTCTTCAACACCCTTTCATTTCTTGTGCTTTCAACATTTTCTTTCATGTTTTTAACCTTTCTATATGATTGAAAGTTGAGATTAGTTTGAAGTTAGAGAATTAGAGTTGAAGGAAGATATATGAATTATAAATATTTTAATTTAATATCAGTGTCTACTATAAATAAAAATTATTCTTGAAATTATCCCTTTTATTCCTTTTGGGGTGAAGAAACCTCTTGTTATATAATTTTCATGGTGTATAATGGAGAGTTGGAAATTTAACAACAACTACGACTTTTGAAGAATTAAGTTCAAAAGATGATACTCACTTGAGTCGAGGATATTACAAAGAAATTGGACTTAATTGACAACATTACACATTTAGGTGTGTCATATCATTTTGAAAGTGAGATTGTAGAAATATTGCATAACATGCATGAGAACCCTCCTCCCTTCAAAGGAAAAGATCTTCAAACCATTTCTCTCTAATTTCGTTTATTTAGACAACAAGGTTACCATGCACCACTTGGTATGTTTAATTATGGTAATGCTATTTGTATCCTTTGCAAGTTGTTATAAGCATGCTTTTTGGAACTTCTTGTTTCTAAAATAGAGACATACATAGATGTAATTGATCAATTCAAAGATGAAAATGATGATTTCAAGAAGTCATTGATTAAAGATGTGGTTGGAATGCTGAGCTTATATGAGGCTACACATTTTGGTATCCATGAAGAAGAAATTCTTGACAAAGCTATAAACTTCACTTCTTATCACCTGCAGTCAAGGTTGGGCTCCATGAGCCCTAGCCTTGAACAAAATGTAATTCATGCATTAAAATATCCTATTCGCAAAGGTTTACCCAAGTTGGAGTCTAGATATTACATTCCCATATACTCGACAGAGGCTTCGAAGTCTCAAAGTGATCCATTATTAGAATTAGCCATCCTTATCTTTAACGGTGTGCAAGCACTACGCAAGAAGGAAGTAAACCATACTATCGAGTAAGTCAATTAACTTGCTTATCAATTTCATCCAAGAAGTTAGACATCTCACATTAAAAGAATAATCCTAACTTGTATTTGCATTGTAGGTGGTGGGAAAAGTTTTCAAAGAAAGTGTCATATACTAGGGACCGAGTCGTAGAAGGTTACTTTTGGCCATTAGGTGTATATTTTGAGCTTCAATATATAATTAGAAGGACAATTATGGGTAAATTAGTTGCTACTATCTCTACAGTTGATGATACATACGATGCATATAGCACAATTGAAGAACTTGAACCATTTACACAAGTAATTCGCAGGTTAAATACTTCTAAATTGATATTGACTAATAATAAACAACTCACACACATAATCACAAATTTTTATTTTCTATATCTTCTCGATGCATAATTTTAAAATTAGTTTTTTTGCAATTTTTGTTATTATATTATGAAAATATAATTTTTGAATTAATGCTTTTATCATTTATAGATAGTCGAGAAAGATGATATTTTCACTTCACATTGATTCTCATATGGGATGATAGTGCTCTAAAGCACCTCCCACAATGCTTGAAAGCAATATTTCAGGCTGTGTAAGAGTTATTTAACAAAATGGAGCTATTGACCACTGAAAAAGGAAAATCATGCTTTGTTCCATATGTTAAACAAGCAGTAGGGATATTTTTTTCAACATATATAAATTCATTTTGCAAATGACTGTGAATTTAATTTGTAGGTTTATCTTAAATAATGTCTATTATTATACTCATATAGTTCCAACGAGGAAAAGCTTATTTGGTTGAAGCCAAGTGGCATAACCAAAGTTACATCCTAACATACGAGAGTACATAGAAAATGGAGTTTGGACATCCTGTTATCCTTTGTTCATGTTGGCTTGCTTACTTTGCCTTAGGAATTTATCAACAAAAGATGTGTTTGATTGGATTTCCCAACTTCACAAAATGGTAAGAGCATCATCAATCATTGGTAGAGTGATAAGTGACATGGGTTCTCATAAAGTACGATGTTAATATTTGAAATTTTAGATAACATAACATTGTGAAGGAATTCCTAAGTTTTTTCCAAGCACTAAGTGTTTGATTTTTGGTTTGGCAGTTTGAGAAAAAAAATTATATGTTGCATCTGCAGTTGAATGTTTGATGAATCAATATGGGGTTTCAAAGCTACAAGCTTATGAATTGTTGCAAAAAGAATTAGGAGATGCATGGAAAGATATTAATGAAGAATATTTGAAGGCAAAATTTGTTCCAAAGGTTGTGCTTCAATGTGTTGTGAATTTCACAAGTATTCTAGAGGTGGTATATGAAAACCTTTCGGACAAACATGCAGAATTGTTAAAAGATCATATCGCAGCAATAGTCATGGATCGCAATGGAAATTAAACCCAAGTTAATGCTTCAGACACATGGATTACAAATTGTAAGGTATATGCTATAGATCACCGAGTGAAAAAGTTTGTGTGGTGGATGCATCAATATATAGGTGTGAACCATATATATTAATGTTGTTTTAGATTGCTTCTTGCCTTTTAATTGCTTGGATTTTATAATAGTTTATTCTTGTGTATGCATAATTATAAACAAAAGTTGTAGTAGTCATGCTTAATAGCATATGTGAGGTGTTTTGTTTGATAATAAAATATTGAATTATGGTAATTCTAATGTGGCTTCTTGGAAAAGGACCAAACCTTTTTATGTCTTGTGGCATTGAAAACATCACACCCATTAAACTATTGCTTATAATATTATAACATATATAGTAAACTCCGAATCATAAGGGCAGTTCTACATGTATTTGAGTTTTGTAATGCTGGTCACTCCTGCATACATACGAGATTGTAGTAAGAAATTACCTATAGCCAGGTGTCTAACACACAAGTAGACGAAGATTTTTCTATTTTGATTAATTTTTGAATCGAGAATTACAGAAGAAAATAACAAATAATAAAAATCACTAATAAATAAATAAATATGTGTGTGTGTGTGTGTGTGTGTGTGTGTGTAGAGAGAGAGAGAGAGAGAGATTCCAATCAATAGAAGCATTCGTGTTCAGGATCTACCGTATAGGTTACTAATTTCTACACTTAAAATTGACTCTATCAAGTATAGTGAGTGTCCTAACTACCTCTCAACTAATTACTCCCTATTTATGTAGGATTGATTTATTCTTGTGCAACCCAAACTCCTAATCAAACTATGGCTTACTCTTCCCCTCTCAATCCATCAAGTTTACTCATAAATTATATGTTAAGTATCAAGTATAACATCTCATGAAGAACAAAAGAGATAATATAATTGAAAAAATATATCAAAATATAATTATAAATCAAAATTCATAAGTGTCAAATGAAGGAATAGAAACTAGCTAGTTTTGTCATGCCCAAAAAAATAGGATGTGACTGGGCACGGAATACATGGACAAAAGCCCATATCTACCATTAAGATGGCTATCAACCCATAGGGTTCAAACGCACTCCACGCTTTTGCTGCACTACTCTGATAAATTTAATATTACATGTTTCATTACTATTTAATGTTTGCAAAGATAACAAATTTTAGTTTCATGTCAACAAATACCGGCATCTGCCTGTAGCTGCTCTTGGTTAGAATGTAAAATGTCACTATTTGAGTTCAAAAGCTTCCTTAGAAACAAATCAATTATGATTATATATCTGACATAGCATTCTGCATATTATTCAATAATGATTGCAGGATAAGAACATCTTGGGAAAAAAATCAATACATCTATGTTACAATATAAATATATAAAGAGAGGGGAATGAGTTAATGATGTAAGATATTATACATTAAAAGCACCAAGCACTTGCTACCTACAATATGAATGATGAACTCTGGTCAGCCCTGAGGCAGAGTATATGATGCCATGCATAAAGGTTGCTTCATTACAAATCACCAATAGTATTGTATATCCCATGGTTTTTCTTAAAAAAGTCATTAAAAGATGAGTTTAGTGCAAAACACATGCTTTAAGTTCAATAATTTCCATTTTCGTTGTTAAGGATAATATCCACAACCTGTAAATACATTGGGAAACAAAGCAATAAACCACCACAAGTCCACAACTTTTGAAAAAACTGACAAGTAGCTAAGTATATTCCCAATCAAGTACTCCAATTGACAATTCCAAATCACAAACTAGATACGCAGCCCCAAAGATATCACAGTTCCCAATTCCTCACATTGCAAAAGCTAAATAAATGAATGGAGCCCAGGTAAAAAGCCCATCAAATAAACTAGTTGATTTTAGGCCCCCCCAAAAAAAAAAAATGTAGCCTTGTTAGGTACACAGTACTTGAAGATCAATTCTATACCATCCCATTTACTAATATCAAACCGATATTGTCACCTAACATGTGATCTTATGGTTTCAAAAAGGAAAAACCTTTCATAAAATGTATCAACAAGGTTGTTTAGTCTAATTGAAGAAATGTGGATTGCAAAGACTGATGACCTTTGATTGGGATTGTTCTGACTTGAAAAGAAAAGGAAATAAGGGATGCTCCACTTTTCATTGTTATGGAGAGGGTTGGAAGGAACGACAGAATTCCCAAGGTCCAAAAATAGTCTCTTCAGTTATGATCAGACTGTACTATTTGAATAAATTGGCTGTGCTGTGCTGTTGGCGTCCTAAGGGTAAGCTATTGCAAATGCCCTAAGACACAAGATAAATGTTCAGTACTGCCATTTCTGTTGGTTCTGGGGTATAATGAAAAAGGAAATATGTTTTATCCTCCTTATTCTTGATCTCTTCCTACCCTTACTTTCCAAGTATAAGTTATATTATCACCAAACAATATTGGGAAGAGGGAGACATTAAGCTCAAAACATATTAGAAAGATAATCACATACAAACAGGATGCACGGACTTCCATGATATAAGCACATAGAGAAGCTCAATCCAAGACCCAAAAAGAAAATTTCATGTAAATATGATCAAGTTTAAACAAGGGAAAAATGTACGTGAGTAACTGCAGCAAGACTCATGCAACTTAACAATTTAAAAATTTGATACTATTCATTCACAAAACACTATATTACATATGAATATAATGAATATGATTTCACACTTTTCTTTCAATTTTGGGTCATGTATTCTAGGACAAGGACCTGAAGAAAATTAACCAAAGAGAGAGCTTATTAAAACTTGGAAATAATGAATTCGCTAACTCAAGTCAACAAAAATTCAAGCTGGATATTCAAATTCCTACAACGTCCTTAGCATCAGTTAGCATGCCAAAACGAGGACTTCAATTTTTTTTTTTTTTAACAATTGGTGGTGAGGTCTGATGCATTAAACAAGCTACTTTTAATAGTTGCATAATATTTATTTATTTATCTTAACAACTTCTTAAAGTCTCCAGGGCATTCAAATAGATCAACTGATTAGCTTCCTTCCCAATCATTGGCACAACAATTACACTCAAATGCTCAAGTCAATAAAAATTCCCCCTTACACATTTCACCAAACAACTTGTATGCATTCAAAAATTTAAATCATAAAATAGACATCTCAACTCAAACAAGTAAGCCATAGTTAATTACCCAATTAAAATACAATCCCCTCTCAGGCCTTTTATCAAAGGCTTAGTGTGCATCATCCCCAATCCACTCAATATAACTTTTTAAGATTCAAATCTCTTCCCCAACAATTCAACTAGTTACCCAAGAACTTCATAATCATTAAATTTCTTTGCAATACTCAAGTTAATTCACAACTAAATAGTAAAAAAACCAAAATTGCTTCACAAAAGAATTAACGAAATTTCAGGAAAAAACATATATAATCAAGAAAAATCCTTCTAAAAAACAATTTATCAAACACCTCACAAGCATTAACTTCAATTTTAATTTTAAGCTTGCTCAACTTCCTCCCTCTCACACATTCACATATATAACAGCTGAACAGGGAAAAGGGAATCAAAATTTTCAGCCATCCAACACATGTAGACAGATCCAGCGTGAGAATAGAAGAGAAATTGGAATCACCTGACCTCAAATCAACAACAACATCAACCCAGAACAAAACGGAAGAAGATGCTGTCCACGGCTGACAACGTGAAGCAGGGGAAGGGAAGGAAAATCACGAGCTTTGCCTCTATAAGCGACGATAGCCGCACCATAATTACCGGTGGCTAATGAAACGGACAAAGGAGGAGGAAGAAAGGAAGAAGTCGAGCTTTCCCCATCAATCATACCGGTACAGCACAATGAAAACAGGGGAGACAGAGATCCAGGGAAGCTGAACGAGGAAGAAGAACTTGCGGGCAGGAGTACTCACGGTGGCCGGCGTCAGACGAGGATGAAGCAAGAAGCGCGATGGGGAAACAAGAAAGCTTCTTGATCCAGTCTCCTATCACTCCCTCTCTCTAGGTATTGCTGATGATCGCACAAGAATAATGGAGGGATTGGAAAAATATCATATATATTCTTTCTTTTTGTAGGGCCATCAAGGTAATTTTATAGAAGCCATGACAAAAATGAAAATGTTTTCCTTAGGCATTAGTCAAATTCAATTCTAGAATCTTATAAAAGCTTACAAAGTTTTTACTTGCCGTTAGACTATCAATTCCTCTCATCATAATATTCAAAATATATAAAAATATGGGAGAATTTTAATTAAGATTCTTTAACTGCACATTTAAATTTAAAGTTTTTAAATTTATAAATTTTTACTGTAATTTAAGGATATTGATTTAATATTAACTTTATGAAGAAAATGACAAAATTTCTCTTCATTTAAATTAACATTAGAATTGTCCTATTTAATTTATTAATTGCCTTACCTAAACTTGTTCATTTATATATGAAATATTATTAATTACTTTATTTTACTTGTTCATTTCCTTAAAATGAAATCAAGTAAAAGTTTAGTAATAAACAAGTGAAATAGAAAATGAATAACAGTCCATAAATAAATAAATAATATATAATATAAAAATCAACAAGTTGTATTACTATTTAAATACCTAAAATAAAAATAAGTTAAGTAGCGTAATTAACAATATTTCGTAAATAAATTAACAAGTAAAGTAAGATAATAAACAAGTGAGGTAAGAAAGTTTTGATATTAATTTAAATGAAGAGTAATTTTATCATTTATTTCAAAAATTTAATATCACTGCAGCATATTTCAAAAATTTGGAGGCTTTGAATTTACATAAATGTGGTCAAAACGTCTTTATTGAAATTTTTCCTAAAAATACTCAATATTTTATCAAAAACTTTATGATTTTTATGATATAATATTTAAAAAAATGTAGAATATTACAAGTTTTCAAATTGCACTACATCTCTACCCTCATTGAGTAATTTAAAAACACATAAAAAAAATAAATACTATTCTAAAATCACCAATCATGGATAATAATCACAAAAAAAATTTGAGTGGAAGAGAATAATTAAGATGTAAAGAACTCCCTAATAAAGAGCTCTTGAGCTGTTCTAATGACTAATTGGATGCCTCCTTTCTTCATAAAGAGGACTACTTATAATTAAAGTCAAGACTCCTTCTCACATTCCTCCTCATTCTAATCATACACATACACTATGATGCACAAATACTGATATTGTACATATCCAATACCTCGATATCTTTGCTTTTAAAATTATAGGATACCATATGTTTTTTTATACGTACATATATATATATATATAATATCATAAAAACATTAAAAATATAATTTTAATTCAAAAAATATCCAAACCAACATACATATATAATGCTTTTATCCTCATATCAAGCAAAACATAATCATTAATTGAATGTTTATTCTATATATACCTATTACATACTGCTTAATCAATACTAATAGATATAATATTAATATCTTCTTCTTGACCATCATTTGAAAAAAGAATAGCTTTTATATTTGATTCATCAAGAGATAAGTTTGTTACTCCAAAATTTATTAGCACCATCAAGGTTATCCCATTCATCTTCGCTAATGTCCCAAAAAAGATATTAGTAATAAAAGTTTAATATTTCAATTTTTTAATAAAAATTAATTTCTTAAAATTTTCTTGAAGTATCAACCTTGAAGTATTAACTATTTAACTCACAATGAAAAAGTATTGGATATATATTAAAAATTATTTTTTTTAAATTAAAAATAATATCTTGCTACTTTGTGGATACATATCGAAGAAGTATTGACAAATGTTGGCATCAGATACGATATCAATATGGATATGTGAGGTAATTTAAAGTATCAGTACTTCGCAATGTTACACGTTGACATATATAAGCTCCATGGCCACCCTCCTTCTTCAATATAAATATATATATATATATATATATATTCTTTCCAATTCTTTTTCTTCTTCTTTCTTTTCCATTTATTATTTTTCCCACAAAAATATAAAAAAGAACAATATAAGTAGATTTTATAGCAAAATTCTTTTTTATTCTATAATTAAGTGATAAGAAAAAAAATATAAATGTTAATCAAATAAGTAGAAAATATTAATAAATTTAATTAAATATAAACTTAAATCTATATCTATTTAATTATAAAATATGTACTTACCAGATATCTAATGTAAATATGAATTGTGTTTTAATTTGCCCACACTGATATATTAATTTTAAACCCATTGATCAAAAGAGGAACGATCAAGACACGTGGAAGAAAGATAACAATTCCCAAGGTCAAAGTGAGATGTTGGAGTAGCGGAGTTTGTTAAAGGGAATTGGAAGTATACTTGAATCTAAGACTTTAGATCTAAGATATTAGGAGAAGTGTAGTTGACAACAAGATCATTAAAAGGATTGAGATTTAAAATAATTTAAATATTATGAGTGGTTATTTTTATTGAATTTTTTTATTTCAAACCATTTAATTCTTATATTTTTGGTGGAATCATTTATTTTATTCTCTAATTTTGTCTATATTTTTACTAAATCCATTTATATAGTTTTAAATAATTTTAATCTTTATATCTTCAATTTGTTGTTTAATTTTATTAGCAAATCAAGTTGTTTTACGTGGTAAAAGTCTCATCATTATTTGAATAAGTGGTTAAGGATTGAATTTCAACTTTTGCACACCAAGAAAAGTTAGTTTATATGGTTCTATCCACTTGCCGAATACATGGGACAAATTAAATTCTGCTATTGGCGAAGTATATATATCATTTGTGTCTCACAACAAAAAATCTAGCCCCAATAACCCCGAGACCTAGGTTTGCCACTGCGCAATCATACATGTCACAACTAATAATAAAGATTACATAAAGTACTGTCCCAAAAAGGATTTGGTTGTGAATCTCAATCTAAGTGTCAATTTCACACTAATTTGATCAGAACAGATAATCATCAATAAAATAAAAGCAAATTTAAACTAACTACACTAGAGGTTAGATGCATTGTTAGTAGTGATTCTGTGGAATTAGAGACATTATATGGATATTACTGCTAAAATTACTTTCATGCACTAGTGAGGAAAATCCCATTTGAGGTTGGTTATTTTAATCTATATATGAACCTAGTATCTAAAAATTTTAAAATATTCATTATGAGCTCTCAATTGTTCCTCTCGAGCTTGATATTGAGTTTCAATTGTTCTCTAGCCTCCATTGTAGTCGCAAACTTTGGCCAAGCTTGACTGGTAATGAAACCATTGTGAGGGGGATGCTAGTTTTTTTTCCTTTAAAAAAATATAAACACTAGAATATTAAAAATTAAAGGGTTGTCACATAAGATTAAAAGAATGTGACTTGGTGTATTTTTTATTAGAGATAGCATTGACTTGGTGCACTAGGTGCACCTTAAAATTTCTCCTATTGAAGTTTATTTTATCTGGTGGATTTGACAAACTTTACTCACTTATATGATCTATATATATGTATATATATATGGGTCAATCATCATATATATGTGTTTGTGTGTGTAAAAGCGTATTTAAGCCATTTATCATAAAAACAAGCTCAATCAATACTATTAAGAAAAAAAACTTATGTACTTAACAATAAATCAATACATATGGATCTTTTATAAAATTATTTTTTTCAAAAAAAAATATTATTATTAATATTATTAACACATTAAAATTTGTTTATTTTGATTTGATTAGATAAAAATATACGTTTGAGGTGCGTTTTTGCATGGGTATAAAGGAACATGTCCTCAAGCGATAAGAAATACTCGACTTTTAAATCAAATGGTGAATTTCTAGAATCCTTTATCACAATTTTGCTAAATGCAAATGCTTAAAAATAAAGAAAATAAAGAACTAAAGATAGAAAAATGGGAGGCTTTCATGGTGAGAATAAACATGATATTGATAATGATATAAAAATAATTACAAGAAATCAAAGATGAAAATATTAAAAGAAAAAAACTTAAGCAATATTACTATTATTTTGTTAGGAGCTGGCACTCTATTAGTCGTTGAAAAATTCACTTCTCTTTGCTAAAAGTGTGGTGTTCTAAGGGAACTATGTCAAATTTTCTAAAAGTTTGATCAAATCAAGTGTGTTGAAGTGATTTGATTGTTCTTAGAACCATTAGCTATAGTTTTTCATAGATTCTTCCACTTTCTCTTTTTTAAAGTGATGCGTTGACTAGGTCTCCCCATTAACCACCTCATTTATAAAAAAACTTTGGTGGACTTGGACTGAAATTATGACTTTAGCCTAAATAATTAGGGTTAGACCAAATTTAAGTTTTAGCACCAATAATTTCCATCCTCCAAGCATTCATTATGTTTATGTAATGTGGAACTTGGGAAATCAATTCCTTTTAACCAAAGTTTTCAAGTGGCAGTTTTGCTTAAGGAGCAATGTAATAACCCAGAAATTTGAGTAAAAAAAAAATTTGATATATATAAATTGTGCTTTAATAGTAATCATATTAATTTTAGAAACATACTTAGTAAGAAGAAGAATTGACTTAGTGGCCACTAAGTGTAATAGGTCTCAAGTTCGAAACCTCTCTGGAGCACAAGAAAGAATTTTAATTTCTTTTGGTTTCAACCCGAATGAAATTACCATCATACCCTCTCCCTCATCAGATAGACTCTCTTCTTTTACCTTCTTTATTCAAGCGGTGCGCATGAAGAGAGAAAGAGAGAGAAAATTCTGTAGTGTTCAATATTGCTCTCCATTCTTCTGCCATCACCGACCGTATCTCCCTTCTTCATTCCTTGTTGTCACCGGTGTCTGAAGAGGTAGAACCATGCATATATCAGCATCTTCCTCTCCTCTGTTCTTCATCCTCTCACTCAATCCCTTTGACTGTGACTGATGAAGTAGCAGAGTGAAAAAAATGGATCCTAAAGCCCTCTAATTGCTCGTGAATCTCTTAGCCTTTTCATGCTTGACAGTCGCCTACTCGTGAATCTCTTCATCCTCTTCATGCTCGATAGCTCTCCACTTCACGTC